ATATGAAGCGTCAAAAATTCAAATTTTACAAATTTCAAGTGGCGATAACTTGAGAGGGGGTTGCGGTGGAAAAAAATTTTCTTCTAACGAAATGAACTATTTATTAATATCTAAAAGCCTCTAAAATTTCAAGCTGCTAGAGGCCGGGGTTTGGAAGAAAAACGGAATCAAAAATTTCGAAAAAAGGACTTTAGATAACGGTAAATTTGAACAGCCATTTTGTTTTTCTAAAGTTTGACTATAGTATGCCACGACAGGAGAAGCAAGCCGTTGCCTTTCTGCGTTCACAAAATTTCAAAAATGCTTATGGTTTCATTGCAACAAGTAGTTAAAAAAGACCATTTTTAGGGTTTTGAAATTTTGTTCTACGGATATAAGTTTCTAGTAAAGATCTATGTACGTATAAAATTTCAGCTTTCTATCTTCAAGGGTGTAGAAGTTTTGTAAACAGGCACACGGACAGACGGACGGACGGACGGACGGACGTACGGACGGACAGAGTGAAACTAATAAGCAAATTTTCAAAAAATTTTTTGGAAAAATGCTAAAAATTAAGATAATTTTAGAAAAATTTGCATTATTATTGGTAATGCTTTTATTGGAATTTTTCAAAAATTTTGAAAATACAGTGAAACCTGTCAAATTTACCACCCTCTTAAATAAACTAAATTTGGTTGCACGAAAATATTTCCATAAATTTCCATGTAATACTGCATTATTGACCTCATAGCATATTGAAATAACCAATATCAAATATCTTTACGTTTTAAATTAAAATTTTTCTCCGAATACAACAATATAAAAAAAAAAATTCTGAAAATATTATTAACAAAAGGTGTGATATTGGACACTTTCTGATTTAATTTAAAAGGATCAAAAACAAAAGAAACAAACAAAAAGATCAAAAGGAAATCCTTCTTACGAACATTATATAACATCTATATTAAATTCTTTTTCTCATTCTTTTATAAATATGGCGTAGAATAACTTTAAAAATGAGAAAAAAAAATAAAACAAATAAAAAAAGAAATTTTTTTCTATGATTATTTAATTTCATTTTTTTTTTTTCTTTATTATTTTTAAAAAAGTTTTCACTTTAATTTTTACTTCCTTTCAATATTTAAGATCACAGTAACACAAAAAAGAAAAAAAACAAAGCATAGAAGAAAAAAAAATTCTTGAAAAGGAGAAAAATAATAAAAACAAAAAAATAAACAAAGAATAATAATGTGAAAACTTAGTTCATCACGAAGAACTACAACAATAAACATAAGAAAAACTAACATTGTTGAACATTTCCTTTAGGTCATGTCTCGTAAAACAGAAAATGCTTTTTTTTATTTTCTTGACAATTTCTTTAGCTATTTAGAAAAAAGAATATGGGAGCAAAAACAACACAGTTAAGAAATAAGTAAAAAATTGTTTACTAAAGTGGAATAAGTGGGTGGTAAATTCATTATAAAACTCAACAAAGAAAAGAAAAAGAACATGAAAACTGCAGTTTAAAAGGTAATGAAGAAACGCAACCGAAGCACGCTCTATACAATCATTTCCATGTTATAAATCAAGACACAAGAATACATTTATATGCGTTTAGTCATCCCCTGATATATGCAATTTTGTTCATAGTTCTGTAAAAAAACAAAGCAAATTTTTAAACGAAAACGAGAAAATCTCAAATGTATTTGAAGTACATTTAAAATTTCTTGATTAATTGCGTTTTTCACTTAAATTCGTTAAAATTTTAGTATTTTATAGTCTAAATCAGAAATGCATATAAATTTTTCTGGGATTGAAAAATTTTGAATTGTTTTTCATTATTTTTATTGTTTTAAAATTTTTTAAAACCAAGCGGTTCATTTATCCGGAGATGACTGTGTATGCATTTCATAACGCCTTCCATGTGACTACATCCGTGCATGACAACAAATACTGGAAATAAAATTTTTATATACATATACAATACAAAATAATACAAACTAATACAATTAATATTTTCTTGGTATAAATGAAAGACAATTCATGTTACGCTTAAATACACATTTTGTGATTAAAGGTTAGGTATATATATATATATAGTTCGTGTGTAAATAAAGTAAGTTATTGTCCCACATTATGTACTCTTAAAATTCTAATACTTTAAGATTATTTTATATGAATACAGATAAAATTTAAGTTGATTATTCGTTGAAAATAACTAAGTAATTTTTAGAATTTGTATACTAAGAAAAATTAACTATTGCAATAGTAAATGTTCAGTTGTCTCTAGTATTGTATAGGGTAAAATTAAATTTAATTTTTTTTAGCACAAAATTGGTGTATCAAATGAGAATTTGATAAATTAAATAAAGTGGAGTAAAGTTCCAACTGAGTATCTTAGAAACTGAAAGAGATATGACAATTCCGATAACAGTAACAGAAAGAGCATGCCTAAAAACCTTAATAACAAGTCTTAAGTTAAAAAATGCATTGAAGGATTATGTATGGAAAAGAACCTCTATCCCACATTTTAAAAAATTCGAAATAATTTACAAAAAATCCGAAAATATTATTTCATTGCAATTCATTACATTGCTGTTCATTAGTTTGAACAAGAATTAATTTTCATTGTTATATTTCTAGTCGTTAAATGAATTATTTACATTCTTCTTTCATTTAACTAGGTCAAACAAACTTCAATATTTTTTTTACTGTTTTAATGCTTAAATAAATACTTATTTCTAAATAGACCTATATATAAATTTCCCTAAAAATTTTATCATAATTTTATAGGCGTACATAAGAGTGTACAAAAATTATTAATGAAATTGAAATGTAATTGGTCAATATTGACCATGACATTTTTAATTTATTTTTATTTTTTCGTATTCATTTTAATAAATTCTTTGTAGGTGGTAAATTGTTCAATTCATTATATCAAAGAGAAAAACTTCGGAAAAGAGCGAAATTCGAATTTTCTTTTTGTTGAAAATTTCAGAGGTGTGTAAAAAGAATCAAACGGGCATATTGAAGTGTGTTGTGAAAACTCGTGGGGATTATGCACGTGTAATCAAGACCTAAAATTTTTTATAGATTTATCCGCGTTATGAGGTTTTTTTCTTAGCTTTTTTATTTTCTTTTTTATAAACTAACGTGTTAACTAATGAAATTCGAATTAAGAGATTGTTTACTTATGAAGTTGTTTAATTATAAGATTGGGATTCTTCCCTGAGAATCGAATCTGAAATATTTATGAAAAATATTTTCAGAAAATCTTTAAGGTTTTCCGTTGGATTTCAGTATAACAATCCAAAACTTTTCTGTTATCGCTTGTGTATTTCCCTTAATATTAATTTACAGCACTTATTTTCAATGTATCATTAGTCGCAGCCCAATCAACAATAAAAAAAACTACACTAATAACCCCACTTATTAATTATATAATATAAGCAAACTTTAAAGTCTCTAAAAATTAATACCGTGTAAACCGCGAAAAATAACAACAAACTCATAAAATTAAAAATCAATTAAAAATTTTTTTTTTTATTTGCGTAATTATACCAAAAATTTATTAAAAATTTACTTAATATTCACTCACACTTTTAATTATAAAAGTATAAAAGTCAAACCATTCTAAATTAGTTTAAAATTTAAATATGAAAAGTTAAAATTTTTAAAAAGCGAGAAACCATAAAATGTCTATTTTAATTAAAACTATAGATATACACTAAATATACAAACAAGAGTAATTAAATTGGAAGTTTATAATTAAAATGGAAATTTTTCATTTGGAGGAAGAGGTAAAAAAAAAAATATTTACAAAACTTAGATGCAATTTTTTTTTTTTTTGGTTTCACATAAAAACTCTTGTAGTATACGAGTATTACATATATAATTTTTTACAAAGTAAACACTATAAAATAATTATCTGAGCGGAAATGATAAAAATTACCTCTTCCATTAATTTACTAATATAAAAATATTTTTAAGGTATACAAGAAACATTATATGATTTTATTTACCTTAATATTAAAGGCAATAATACATTGTTGACAGTTAAATATTTCTATAATATTATTATTAAAAGATTTTATATAAAATTTTAAATAAAAAGTAAACAATTAAATTAAAAATTTTGCTAATTCTGAAAGGCGATATCTCAGAACTAAACCACTTCTTCTATTCAGTAATAATTGTTCAGAGTGAAAAAAGAAAAAATCAGAGTTTTGCGACTTTCAGTATAAGAGAAAAATTATTTGAAAAATTTAAAGATTAAAAATTGCAACTCAATGTAACAATTAATTTCAACATCCTTCCCCCAAAAATAAAATACATTTTTGCAATTTCACGATTAAAAGCGTATGCGGCTTCCTTTCTGCGCTTGTATAAAATTCATAAAATTGTTTTCGGTTTTTGGACACAGTGAACTAAGCCAGGAGCTTGTATTTTTAGCCAATTTAAAGTCCCAATCTTTTAAGGGGACTTTGGATATTATAGGACTTTTTCTTCAAAATTGTAATTTTGAAAAACAAATCTATACAAACTAAATTCGGATAGAGCGAAATTATTAAAAAAAAATTATTTTTTAATAGTGCTAAAAGGTTATTTCGGAATAACTCATTAAAAAAAAAACTATAGAAAATATTTAAAATTAATATTACTATATAAACACTACACCCGTAATTCCTGCAGTTTTTTCGTAAATGAAGTGAAATAATTTCTTATACTTTAAGTAAATGTTTTTTTTAGAAGGCATTCTTCTCAGTCTTTTTCCTATTTGTTATCCCAATTAGAGCATTATTTTTCTGAGTCTCTTCATGAATTTCTTAACTATTATTATGTGAACTTTCTGACTTATTATAAATAATATATAAATCTTAAAATTTAATAATAAAAAATCTAAGTTAGAATATAAATATTTATTATTTTAGTAAGTACATTTAAATTTTATTCAATATAAAGAAAAAAAAAACAAAAAAAAAATTAATTTATTTTTTTTTTTCTTTTTGGAATCGTTTCAGGACATTTTACTAAATTAATATAAAGCATATACAGCAATCTTTTTAAAAAATATTTTTTTTTTTTAAATATAAAAATATTAATTTGGCAAGCAACATATACACACACACCCAAATGAATGAAATAAGAGGAAAATATTTGTATATATAGAAGAATTTGAAAAATTTCAGTAAAAACAAAAGAAGAAAAAATAAAAACTTCAGATTTCATTTAATATTCTCATGTCCTTTTGATTTATTCCTTTTTATAAATTTTATTTGATTTTTTTTTCGTTGTTTTTATTTTGTTTAATATTTTATTTTCCTTTTATTTTTATTTTTTTTTTTTGGTTTATTATTTTATGATTTTTCATATTTTTATATAAAATTTTTATTTTAATTTTGTTTTTCTTTTTTTTCTCTTTTTATTATATTCAATTTTTTCTGCCATCATCAAAATCATCCAACATTAAAAAAAAAAGAAAAAAAAAAATATAAAATTAAAAATGAAAAATAAAAAACCCGAAGAAAAAGAACAGTAAAAATTAATCAAAAGAGAAACAAGAAAAAAATTACAAAAAAACGACAAAAGCAAAGAAAAAAAAATTAAAAAAAAAAATTGTTATCCTTGCATATAACAACTAAAAGTGACATAACATCATTTGAAATATCTAAAAATTTGAAGAATTATTTTTATCAACAAACATCAAAAAAAAACAGAAAAATATAACAAGAAAAATTCCAAACATTAACGGATATATTTACAGATTTTTTTTGTAATACAAATACTTCTACATTTACACCAACGCATATATATATATATATATATATATATATATATACATTTAGGATTAAATACAATACGAGATCCTCCGGTATTAAAGTATTTTTTTTCCTGTTTTTCTACTTTTTCACATTTTAATATTTTTTTCATATTTTACGAATACTTTTATTGTAAAAAAAAAAAAACAACATAAAAGTAAAAGAAAAATATAAAAACAAATAAAATTAAATAATATATAACTATATATATATAATATATACAAACATACAAACATGCATTTAGTACATATTAAAAGTACAAAAATATTATTTACGTTTGTGTATGTAAATAAATATAATATATGAAAACCTGTTAGCACATACGTATACAAAGCAGAAAACAACAAACAACAAAAGAGAAAGAAAACTTTATTCAAAATATATGCAATACACATTTATACATACAAGAAAATATTTCAAAAATTATATTTGAAGAAAAAAAAAAAACAAAAAAGAAGAAAAACAAAATAATAATAACACAAAATAAAACTAAAAACAAAGAAAAAAAAAACAAATATGGCTGTACCAGTTGAAGAGAATGTTTTGAATGCCCTTCGGGGAGTTGTTAAAGAGACAACAAGACTGCCAAAACCATTAATCATAAAAATTTACATTGCAAGCTCAAAACATGGTAACGTATAAAAATTATAAAAGAAAATATTAAAAAACAAAAAAAAATAAGCAAATACATGTAAAATTAGACAGAGAGAGAGAGAGAGAGAGAGAGAGAGAGAGAGAGTAAAAAAGTAAACGCATAAACATATATTGCTATGACAAAATTTAAAGTAATAATTAAAACTCTTAACTTAAAAAATGCAATTTTCCAGGTTTCAAGTATCAAATACTTGTATAACAGATTTTTTAAGGTATAAATACGACTAGATTTGAAATTTACTCATTTTCTCATCTAAAATAAATCTCTGGGGAATTCTAAAATTTTTAAAATTTCTTTCAATTGAAAAAATTTAAATAACTTAAAGTTTTATAAAAAAAATTATAAAACTTTGAGGTAAATTTTAAATTTAAATTTATTGAGTTTAAATATACACTTTTGTCACAGGAGAGAACCTAACTAATCTTGTATAAAAAACCAACAAATGCTACAGTTTTTTGAAGAATCAAAAATATATCATAAAACTTCTAGTTTACAATATAATCTTTAGTTTTATATTTAAATTTTACTAAAATTAAATCAATTTTAAGTAGCACCCCTTGTTAAAAAAATTATAATTTAAATGATACTTTCATGTAAAATTTCATACTTAGTTTATTCGAAGGCCGACTGCATACTTAACAAATTTCCCTCTAAATCGAAATTGGAATAACGAACAAAAATAGAACTTCAATAATTTGACTTAAAACTAAATTTTTATTATAAATTTTCTTCTGCAAAAATTATTTGTGCTATTCTCAGGTACACAGGGCTCGTTAATTTCAATGAGGTTTTACTGTTTAAAATTGCGTTTTCTCTTTTGTCGCTGTATATTTTTGATTCTTTCTAATTTTCATATTTATTTCAAAATATTTCGAAAAATTATTAAAATATTTTTAAATTTTTATTTTTCCTTTTTTTTTGAAAAAAAAAAGAAATTTTTAATAAAGTTTTACAAAAATTTTATCCTTATTTTTATTAATTTAATTGTTTTCTTTTCTTCCCTTGAATAAGAATTCAAAGAAGAACGTCGAATGATGCTTGAATTAATTGGACCAGAATTACAATCACAATATGATGATAGACAAATCGAGGTGAGTAAATTTTGCTACCCATTTAATAAAAGGTCTTTAAATTTTAAAGTTTCAATTTATCAAAAGTTTCGAATCAATTTCATTTTAATAAAAGTGAGTTGGAGCAAATATAATTTTTGATCCTACTTAAAAATTGTTTGTATGTGAAAATATGTTATAATAATTTAGTGTCTTTAAATATTTTTAGTTCAATTACCTTTTTTAAGTAAAAAACAATTCAAAAACAAACAAGTTATGACTGAGAAATTTTTTTAAGACTATTCTAAAAAATCTAGTGTAATTATAACAAAATCTAGTAAAAACTAAACAATGAATTCAAAATGTAAATTTCCATTGTCATACCCTAAGTACTTTTAAACTTATGTAATAAAAATTTCAAAAGGAAAATCCACTCCAGCTTATTACAAAAACAGAATCATAAATTTATAAATCGCGGTGAATAATTAAGCAAAGAATTTTTTTTATTAAAATTTAACCTCAGACATTATAAACAGTAGTATAGTAAACATGAATAATAATAGTAAAAAAAAATATTCATTGACAACAATATAAAAAAAAAAAATTCAAAATAAGACATTAAATCATATTGCTTCAGTCATATAATGTAAAAATAATAATTCATTAAACCCATACCATGTAAAATAGCACATTTCCATTTGTTAACAATTCAAGTTTACAACACAAACTTGTAATTACATACAAAGTTCTAAATGTAATTCAAATGATATTCCGTTCTAGTAATTATTTTATCAAATTTTATAATGTTGCATGCATTTAGGATTAATTTTAAAATAATTTTTTTAAAAAAGTTCATTAGCATATCGAATGAATCATATCGATAATTAGTTTTAGTTAAGCCTTACAAAATATAAGAAGAACCTTTAGGTAACAGGACGCTTATTGGTATATTTTTGCTTCCAAAGAAGTTAATTAGATTTTATACTGCCAATAAAATACGGTATAAAATTTGAGAATTTTTATGGTGGAAGAAATGATAATTTTTAATGATAACAGAAGCAATAATTTATGAATTTCCCGCATGTTTGCAGAATTTGCAAAACCTTCAATTTTGACACGTACACTAGCTAATTTAAATTTTAAGCTTTTACAACTTTGAATACTTATACAATGAAGGCGAGTTGAAGAATCTTAATTCTAAAAAAAATTTTTTCACTAAAATTATACGAACGGATAGATGAAGCTAATGAGCACATTTTTTCCTTAAAATATTTCGAAAATTTTGCTAAAATAATAACAGAAAAAAAAGAAAAGGATATTAAACACATTTTTGCAAACATTATTCATTTTTTAAAATCTATTAAATTTTTCTTTTCTCTCCTTTTATTAGACTCTCTCCATTCATTCGACTTTAATTTAATACCTTTTATGTAATTACCATAATTCTGAGAATTATTAAAACAATAACCATCAATTTTGATGGGCATTCAACCATTTCACATTATAAAAAAAATTGCTTTTCTTTTCACTATTTTTTGTTCTTTACTGTTTATTCCATTTCCCACCATTAACAAAAAAAAAAAAACAATTTTGTATTCTTTAAGCGTTCTACAAATTGAAAAGGTAAAAAGAATGTTATTTTTTTTTTTTACAAAGAAAATCTTTAAATAATGTACACATTTACAATAATTTAATACGTCATCACTTTTGCTTCCTTTTTTTTATTTCCTTTTAAGTTTTTTTTTGCCTCTAATTTTTTTCTTTGCCTTCAAATCGTCACTTTACTTTGCAATTCACCTGTCGAAATTAACATTTTTTCTGTTTTTTTTTCTCCATACTTTTGCACTATAAAAAAAGCACACAAAAGAAAGTTAATAACAGCGGTTTGTTATAAAAGGCAAAAAAAAAAGATTAAAGAAGAGAAAAAAAAATAATTTTTATATGCAAAAATAAAACGGAAAACAGTTTTTTTTTTTCAGCTCCCACTCATGATTAGTACGCCAACCTAAAGGACGAAGAATTTTTTTTTGATTTTTTTTTTTTTTTCAAAAACTTAAAAGAGAATTAAAAAAAGTAACATGAATTAAAAATAGCTGATTTCTTTTTCTTTTTCTTATTTAATTACAAAATGGACCCACACTGCATTATAACAAAAAAATAAAAATTCATACGTGGTCAGCATATGACCGACCGCTTTAGTATTTTAACAAAATTAAAAAGTTCCTTCAAATTTATTTTAATTAGTTAGTCATAATTATTTGATAAAGTAAGAGAACGTATTTCTTATATAAACTTCTTTTAAGTTTAATGAACATTTTTGTCAGTTAGTTAAAATATCCCAGAACTGGTATCAGATTTCGTGAAAATATTTACGCTTTCATAAATTAAGTTAGAATTAAATAAGGTTAGGTAAGATTACGAATTAATATATGTACACCATATGTATATGATTGTGTTAGAATAGTTTATGTCTGTATGATAGTCCAAAAACTCGCTGAACAAAACCTAATCACACATATTTACTCTCGTGTATCAAAGAAAAACATATTACTATTAGAAGCTTACTATATGTGTCCAATTTACGGTTAATCACCTACAATACCACCCTTATACAATACGGTGAGCTAAAAAAAAAATAAAATAAAAATTTAATATGGTAAGGTAATTTAGGTAATCAAATTTGTTATTCAGTTTATATGACGTATAATTATTATTTCTGTACACACATACGCTTAATGCATAAAGGCATATATTAAGTGTAATTTAAGTTTTGCACCTTATAGAGCAAGTAAAGTTGCATATTATAATTTACTTTTACAATTTTCTTTTAAACTTCTTTTAATATAAATAAAATTTGCATATTCAAAATTTATAATTTTATAAAAAAACACCATTTTTTTCTTAATTTTCATGTTTCTCGGTTAAAGTTTGCATTTTTTTTTAAATATAATTAGAAATTCAAAAAAAAATTTAATATACATACTGTAAGGTTTTCGTGTATTATAAGGTTACAAATAACATTGTGTTATTGCATGTGCCCATTGGCATTTAGTAAGATTATTCCAAAGTAAAAATTTTATGAATTTTTTTCAAAATTTATGTCTCGAGAACGATTTAATAATTACGAATATGAATCCTGTACTGTCTCAGAAATAAGAAAAAATATATTTCAGAATGGACAGAATCGAAGTGTATGTGCCAACATAGCAAAAATATTTATAAGAGTATTAATGTATTTCGTAATATTGTATTTTAAATATTTGAATTTTCCGTACTTGGAATTAAGTCTCGAAATATTGAATCAATTTATACAATTTCCATAAGTTTAAGTAAAAGAAATGCTCTTAGAAAGTTTTATCGAATGATTTTTCAAAATTCGAACAAAAATTCAGTCTAATATCAAAGAAATGTTGTCAAAAGTAGGATATCTATTGAGTAACCGAAAAATTAATTAATATTAACTCTACATATCAAATATCGGTTACCGAAACCTTTCAACTTTTCTAAAAATAATTTTGAATCATCCAACGCATTAATTAATTCGAAATAATATTAGCTCTAACTCAAGAATTTTTTTTTTTCTCAGAGATTATGAAAATTAATTTTAACTACTAGGATAATTTTCATATTAATATCTTAAATATTCTGAGGATCCTTCTAGCACTAACAGAAAAAATTATTTACATTTCCATTTAAGAAAATAATTTCAATAAATTATTTCGAGACTTTAATAAATAAAATGCAGTAAAGTAAAAGTAAAATAAATAAAAAAAAAATTGTAAATGGAAAAAAATTTTATTTCACTTAAATTATGTAGATAATTTTTCTTCAATTTCTTTGTTTAACTTCAAACTACAAAAGGTAAGAGACCTTTAAAAACAAAAAAGAAGAAATTCAAATGAATATGAAAAATCTTTTGTTCTCTTAGCTACCACTAAATTAATAAAAAATAACAAGTGAAAAAACGACAAAATAGAACCCCCCACTGGTCTCAGTTCTATAAATATAATCTAAGGCAGACGTTGTTCCATTATTTCACAAATTTTTTTCAGTTGTTGTTTTTCTTTTTCTAAGAATACTTTAATACCATTTTATCCCTATTTTAAATTATTTGTTTTGTATTCTTTTTTTTTTGCCTCACTTACTTGCTTTTACATTTTAGCTTTACCTTTTAAAATAATGATTTCCATTATAAAGTTTTATATTCAACGTCTAGAACTAAATATGAAATAATTTGAAATGAAAAAGAAAAAGAGAAAATATTTTGATCCTCAGGACATTATTTACTATTTTTAATGTATATCGTAGAAAAAGTAAGAAAAAAATAATTTTCTTTAATTATTCCGTTTTCTTTTTTTTTTTTTGAGGTTAAGATGACATTAGAGATACTTTAATTGTCAAAATATTTAGATATTTTTTTTTATTTTCCTTAATTTTCTAAAAAATATTGGTACAAAATTTTTTTGCTTAACCCCAAAATCATAAATAATTTCAAGAACTTATTCAACCTTTATATTTTTTGCCCCTACTTAAATTTTTGGAAATTTTTGGAAGTCTTGAATATGGTCATAAGGTGAATGAACAATATTTATATCAGTATTTAGTAGTAATTGTTATTTTTAGATTTTAATTATAGTTGTATTTAAATTGAAAATATATGACCATTTTGACCCCTTTGTTCTTTGGCGGTAGAACAACAAAAAATATACTAAATGTGCAAATTTTTTTTTTTTGATTTCTAAAAAGTTTGTAAAAAATAGCTCACTAACACTGTGAAATATAATTTGAAACAAATAATATTAAGGTATAACAGTTATTATATTAAGAATGCTGTTGGTCTAAAAAAAATTTTGTGCGTATCATTTAAATTTAAATACTAAAGATTATGTTCGGCCAATTTTGACAGTGGACAATTAATTGGTATGCAATTTTGGGCATCATAAGTGAATTATTAGAATCAAAGCAAAATATTTTTTTCAATATAAAAATATCAATTAGAGCAACAACAACTTAAACTGAGCAAAAATATTTTTCAATAAAAATATAGTTAAATATTATTTTCCCTGATTTTAATTTAATTTAACAAATCCACATTGCTATAATACATTATATAATTATTTATGTGTGTATATAAGAAATATATGAAAATTTTTTAAAAACAATTTTTTACTTTAAAAAAATCATTATTATATTACCCCCCTTTAAACTCTAATAATATTACAAATTTCTTAAAAATTTAATAATAATTTATTTGTATTTTTACCCAGTATATTAAATGTATTGTGTTCGCAAGAATATATTATTGTATAAATTCGCAAGAATATAACAAAAAAAAAAGAAATAAGAAATCTTTGGAAATTTATCAATATTACATATAACATTTTCTTGTATACGTACAAGGAATATTATGAAAAATTGAAAATTAAAATCCCTTGACATAAAACGTGTATAACATTAAAAAAAAAATTTTAACTATCATCTGAATTTAATGTGTCACATAATAAGAATTCACAATGAAAACAAACGACCTTTTTATAGATTTATAATATTAATCTGTTATATAATCAACCTAAAAATTATTATACGATTCATCTTATAGAATTATATAGCATATATTATATAGGATATACCATAGAGAAAACATAAATAGATACATAAATTATATGAAAAAAGGATAATTGTTCTCTCATTAAAAATAAAATATTGCAATGTTTAAGGTATAAGTAATAGAAACCTTTCATTACTTCAAGTACACATTAAATTTATAGCTTTTGAACCTATGTAGTTGTAATCTAGAGAACCATTTTCTCAAGTACACAGAAATGTTTGGGTAACACAACAATTTGTTGAATAAATGAAACAATCTGTATATGCTGTAAGCGAACAATATCTTTGATTAAATTTTAATACAACTGAATATAATAAAAAAAAATCAAGAATAAAACAAAAATAAATACACAAAAAAAAATTTTAATAAACGAACACATTCCATGTCAAAAAAAAGTATAAAAACTCATCTATAGATACTACAATAGTTAAAATATTAATAATATTCACTGGCATTTTATGTCATATTCAATAAATATTGAAATTGAGAATTTACAATTTATATAAATAATTTGTATGTACGTAAATATATTATAAATATCTTTACATATTTTTTTTCTATTATTTTATTTTCAATTTTCATAAATAACAACAATGTCTGAATACGATACAAAATAAACACAGGTCGAAATGGTTGATATGCACTTTGGTACTGGACCAGAAAATTATTTAGCCTTGGAACATGATCCATATTTAATTGATGATTATTTAGATGAAATCGAAACATGCCATCGGGTATCCAAAAGTACTTATTTCATTGTAAGTATTTTATTGTATGTAAGCGTGTCTGTATATATTACAAATACAAAATATTAATTAATAAAAAATTTTGAAAGAAAATATAAAAATATTTCTATTTTTACAAATTTTATTTATTTTATCTTTATTTTACATCATATTTAATTAATGATATCATATTTCTTATTTCTTTTCCAATAATTTTAACAGAATGGCATAAAAACGAAATTGTTATATTTAATTTTTTGATGATTAAAGTAAAACAGCTATTTTTTATAAAAATTCTAAATATAACTTAAAACAAGCTTTTGTTTTGAAGAGGCCTTGCTAAAATGCAGCTGTTTTCTTTGTAGTTGTAATTCTAAAAAAAATTGCATACTTTTAGGACTTGCATACAGAACCAAACGTTTCTCTTATTACCTCTGGGCTCTCAAAAAGCGTTTTTAATTAAATATTAGGAATGATGTTAAGAAGCAGATGACGTGATAATGACACTTTATAGTTAAAGTTTACAAGGCTTTATTATGGACACAAATTATTTCCATAAGTTCCTTAGTGTTCACAATAACAATATCAAATTTTTTATTACAAATATCATTATCAATTAGTAAAAATTGTCAAAATAACCCCCCTTAGTATTCAAACTGATAAATCATTGGCAATATAAATTTTTTCAATACTGCTAAAGTTCAATTACATCGTGTATTCCATAAATTTGGAAATAATAACGACATGCCAATGCATAAACAATTTTCATATAAGAATCAATTCTTCATTATCAAAATATTTTCATACAAGTTTCGTTTTTAATCCTATCTAATATTACTAAATAATAAATATTTATTTTTTTGTTTTCTTTTCTTTTAATTTATTAGGCATTAATTGGCGAGACAATCGGTAGGATGTGCTTACCAACGAAAATTACTGATGAAATATTTTCATCTATCTTAAATCAATGTTGTGATAGCGATGAAAAAGAAATATGTTGTAAATGGTATACAAAGCAGAATAATGATAAACACTATATCCTTAAGGAGGATTATAGGTAAAATTAATCACTGGCCATTTAAGATTTAATTAAGCATGAAATTAACCAATTTTTTGTTTATAATTTTGTAGATTTTTTTTTGTGTTTTTTTTATTTTTGTTTTGTATAATTGAAATCATAAACTATTTATTTTTAATTCTAATACATTCTAGTATTTCATAATATAAATTTAAGATAATACAAAAATATATTTTTTAGGGATATTATGAAAATTTAAAAATTTATAATAATGAGAAATACTTTTGTAGATCACAAAAATTCTGAATAGCTAGTTACTTTTAATTTCAAATTAAAGTTGAACAATAGGTTTGTAAAATAGCACATTTTCATACAATATTTAAAATAACTTAAATATGTTCAATATTTTCATAACATAATTGCATACTTTAAGGAGTAGAAACAATTATTATTAAGATGAAATCATGCAAAATAATCTCTAACTATATTTTGCAATAGCATAATATTTACCGAGTGGAAGGAAACGTAAACTCTCAGACAAACGGACGGACTAACACATATTAATCGGACAGATGTGTAGACGGAGGGATAATCTTAAAAATATATAATTTAATAAATTATATATTTTTTCAATTTTGCTAGAAACGTGTAAAATTTTTTCCGAAAAAATTTAAATTTCTTTAAAACAAATTCCTCCCTCTCACACAAACATTCTTATTCTTGTTGTAATATAAAATATGAAAATAAATATTTATGAATTAAAGGTGCCTGACAATTTTTATTAATATTAAAATAATTATAACTTTAAGAATCTTGTTTTTTTTCTTAATAATTTAATTTTAAAATTCCTCTTAACACTGTAATTCGAGTAAAATAAAAATTCTTAGAAAAAGCAAATTCTTAGAAAATTGCATATTTTTAGGATTTTTTTTTTCTAATATTCGTCTTTTACGGAACTTAAGTAGTCGAAGTTTTATAACACGTGTTATTACGCTAAAAAAATATATAACCATCAACATTATTGTCCGCTATAAATTCAATGGCGTATATATATTATTCACAAAATGCAATATGTTTTAACAATGCTTTGGAATTTCAAAAGAAAATTTCTTTGAATTTACTTAAAACACTTACGTCACATTTTATGTAAAATTTTCTTTGCAACAAAATCTTCGTTTTAATTAAATTGATTATATTATGTATTTTACATAACACTTTAATATTATTCAGCAAGCTCCGATTTTTGCAATTCAATGGAACGTATTGAAAAAACCTATAAATTATTTAAAATTTTTCCTTAAAGTTATCATAATTTAAAAATATATATATATATTAAATTTACTAGACCATTAAATTGAATTCAAATGTAACCATGTATTACGAAAAATAAAATACAATCACACAAATAAAAATAGAATCGAAAAAAAACACATAAGGTTTCGCATTGTAATCATTTTTTTTTTTTGAATAAAATAAATTTGTTAGAAATTTTCATTCATAAAATTTTTCAATGGCAATTCTATCAATTATAAAAATATTTAACTTAACAATAGAAATCTTTTAGTACATACCTATTGTATTTGTATGTCAAACCTATTAATTGAACTATTTATTAAATGTATCTGAATTAACATCATATAGGTATACAATATGTAAGAATACTAAGAAAAATCTCACAGTTTTAAATTTTATAAAAAAAAATGTAAATTATAATTTTATATAAATATAATATAAATCAACTTGTAAAACAGAAAAAGAAAATTATCTATTTTTATTGAGTCACTCAGGTGTACAATACCAGACCATTGAGAATGCAATGCGCAAGGACCAATTTTAATAGTCTTGTTAATTGCCTTCTATTTATAAAATCTATTATAGAAAAATTTATATGAAAGAAAATCAATATTTTAATACATTTTCCTGAACATAAAAATTTAATTTTAAAACCATATTATGATGAGTTTAAATAATTAAGAGAAAATAATTACTAAGTTTATTGTTACATTTATAGAAGAATTGTGAGCATTATAACGAATTTAAAGCCAAAATAAAGATTAGAAAACCAGAAAATTTAAATAGTCATTTAATTCATTAGCTGAAATCAATTATTTTAATCTTAATCATAGCGAAAATAATAGTCACAGCACATATTTTATTAACATATAAAATCACTCCTACGCTTCTCTTACATAACCCGTGTACTAGCGAACACTAAAGATATGATTAGTAAACCTAAAAAAATTTCATTTGCCAGTCATTATGAATAAATTTTGAAGTTATTTAATAAATATTGTATTATACGCTCGAAAATCTTTTATACGCTAACTGTTATACATTAATATATTTTCTCCGAAAAGTCGCAGTTAAACTCTTGCCAGATCTCATACAAAATAATATCATTAAAAACATCATACCTTTATGTATTTCTACAAAATGACTTCTCTCAACAAAAAAAAAAAAACAAAAAACAAAAAAAAAATCATTATTATCCTTATGTTATAATTAAATTACACCCATATACAAATTTTTGTATTAAAGAGATTACTTCATAAATAATGTAACTTTCCTCAAATTTATACTCATAATATTTGAATAATTTTTCACATACACCAAAATAATTTTAAGGCTAAATGAACCTTTATTAATTTATTTTCTTTTTAATAAGGACGTAAGTATATTTAGAAAATATGTAAAAGAAAAATAAATTATAAAGAGACACAATTTTTTAAGAAATTCTTCTCCGAATCATTCAATTTTTTTCTCATTTTCTCAAATTTTTGAATTCAGTCCTCTATCAATCATGACATTATTCATTCAGACACTTAGTTCCCTTTTATTTATGAATTTTCTTTGAATTTATTCAACTAGTTAAGTAAAACTGACTCTATTTAAGAAAAATGGATTTTCTATAATTAATTGTATGCAATTCAGTCTGGCATCATTGTTTAATACACAACTGGAATAAAGGTCAAATTTTTATTACATTATGCCAATTTAATATTAAAATTATGATTTGCCTAGTAGAATACTTGTGGAAAATAAAGAAATATTTAGCATTTTCCACTAAAAATTTTCTTTAGGTTCTTATTATAAAATAGTTGTTGAGATAATCAGAACTCTAGCTTTTTAAATGACAATTCTAATTAAATCTACTAGAATGACAGTGGCATAGACAAATTTAGGAGCACAACAAATAATTTTTCCTCGGTGTGATACTACTAATTTTCATTTGGAAAATTTTAATTACACAAATCAAATCTCTACTTATTCATTCAAATACCAAAACATTATAAGAAATTAAAAAATTCTTTATAATTTTCAATATTTAACTAATATTCATGGCTTAAAACTGTATTCAAGTGAAAGCGAATATTAAAATTAATTTTTCTGATCAATTTAATTTCGAAATTTCCCAAATAGGAATTAGAACTCCTAAATAATAATTTCACATGAAATTTTTACCTCATTTGTAATTATTCTTTATTTTTAAAGAAAAAAAAAAACCCAAATATAAATTTTTTATGAAATATTTAAATAAATAAACAAAATCCTAAGAAAACATATTCATTCAAAAATATTTTATTTTTTTATTAAAAAGGTATTTTAAGAAACCAAATACACTATGCTCACATATTATTTATTTTAAGAATAATATTTTTCAAAATATACTTATAAAATTATTATGAAATTCTATGTAGATAATATTAATGTATTCTTTATAATCTTATTCAAATTACATACATACATTCTTAAATATAATTCATAAATTCATACAGATATTTCTGAGAAATCAAGAAGTCAAAAGTAAATACATACATACATGATTTCGGAATATTATAAAATATTATTGACATGGGTTTCAAATTCCATGAAAACTTAGTATGATTAAGCTTACTAAAATATTCTTAAAGGAAACACAATATTGTGGTATAGGATATTGTCCAATTACTCTAAAATATTTTTATATTTTTTATAAGGAATTGACACCTTTTTATACTTGTACTTATAATACATGTACTCGTATATATTTTTTTTACAATTTATTTATAGTATAGGTTTATGAGAAAATTTAACATTTAAATTATTTTAAATTGACATTTCTATTTAAGGATCGATAAATTTATCTCGAAAAACAAAAAATAAGATGTGAATAGAACTTGATCGGCCGCATTGTTTTAATGGTAAAAATTATGAAAAATCATATTTATGGTGAAAAATCTTTATCCAAACTGGTTCTAAATATTAAAATAGGCTCGCCGTTATTTAAATAAATAAGGTTTAAATAAATAAAAAACTCTAAATTTTTGACTTAGGCAAATTATCTCGATCGAATTTGTTGAAAAATTTTCAATTTCAATTTAAATGAGCCTGTGTTTTCCGTAAAGCCTGTTTAAAATATAATAAATCTGCGATACCTTGCTCATCCGCCTATGGCAGTTTTTTTGTTGCATACTTTGAATTATTGTGTATTTCCTTATGTCACTCGTGATTCGCATAAAAAAAAATACACAAATAGAACTGCTTCAATCACATTTCGTTAAAATAAGCTAAACATATTATTAATATTTCCTCAATATGAGAAAGTAAGTTGCCATTTAAAACACAATATCTCAATTTTTATGCAATTGCAATAATTACCACAATATTCCTTGTAATTTTAAAATTTTTTCATCTCTACAGATATTTAAAAATTATTTATTTTGTTATGGAATTTGAAAATTCTGTAATTTTTCATATAAATAAAATTGTTAACTTCATCATGTCGATATAATATTAAACCTTATTCTAAATCTTAACCGCTTCACTTCCGTACTATTACCATCCTGTTCTATAAAATGAAAAATTTTTCATTAAATTTTTTTTTATTTCTTGCATTAGTGTTACATAAAAATATTTTATATATTTTTTAAATCATAATAATTTATTTTAAATTTATTATTTGAATTTATATTGTAATTTTAATGTAATTTTCATTTTAAAATCTTGGAAGTAATTTCCGTTCCATTAAGAATAATTTTATTATACGTTTTACTTTCGTCCGTTTCCGTTCTTTTAAGTTGGAACATGGTTTTTATTAATTACATTTTTTTACTGCTTTTTTGTTTAAGCAGGTTCTATGAAATGAAATTATAACTTTGTTATTGGTTGTACAGGTTGACATAAAACTTAATTTATAAATTCATATCGAAAATTGCTTTTGGAAACCATATGTAAAAACTCATAATGTAAACGCTGACTAACAATTTTAATTAATTTCAATTAATAATCATTTCCTCTATCAAAATATTACGTTTGTCGACAGTTTTTCAGTCAGCAGAAGGAAATTTTTTGCAATTAAGATAGCCATCGCGACTTCTTATATCCTGTCTTCTTACCTATAATATTCCTGCTCCAAGAATAAAGTAACCTTGTTACCCACATGCCGTAGCCAGGCATCCTAACGAACGTGACTCTGTTCGCCGATTCAAACTCTACTAGTATAACAAGAAAGCTCCAGACTAGCTTGGATGTCTTATTGTGGCATCTTAAATGTCTTGGATGTGCGAAGCCCTACTATCCAAGAACAGGTAAACGGTATGATTTTCATACTCCTTTTTCAAGTTGACTTTCAGACAAGTCTCTATTGTGTGTATTTCGGCTTACAATACCATACAAAACGGGTCCACTCTGACATATATACGCGTGTCTGGGCGGACAACATATTCAACCAGTTGTGTAATTTATTTATAAATAAACAAAAAAAATAATTAATTTTTCTGTTTATATCGATTAGCATTGCCTTTTTAATCGTCATTCAAGTTTTGCGAAAAAATTGATTTTAAAAAAGAAATTTTAACTTGATAATAAACAAAAAATCAATACGATAACGGTTGAATTTTATTGAATCAACTTGCGCGCTCCAATATTTTTATTTGCAAAACTTGCAAAACTTTTAAGAATTCATCACCATACTATAAGTATAATTTATATTCCTAGTCATTAATAATTCAACAGAAAATATAACAACAATCATTTCAAAACTATAAAACTTTCCTCGATTCAAACTTAAGAAAAAAAAAAGTTTTTTTTTTTTCCATTAGTAAAGTTTTCAACAACGAGTGTAATAATAACAACGATAATTGTAATAATAACAGTGAAACTGAATTCAATATTTCCCTTTTTGAAATCGACAACTAAAATTATTTTTAAAGTTAAATAGCCCCAATGGGTGGTAGTATACCCATGGGTTTTTTTAAAAAAAAAAAAAAATTTTTTTTTAATTTCCAGGAACATTACACTGAAATAATATTGAATGGTCATCAAATAAGTTTTGTGAAAAACTTCTGCATTTAGTGTAATATTTAAGAACTTTGTAAAGTATAAATTTTGTAGCAAAAATTTGCAAAAAAAAAATCCTTTGCGATATTTAAATTTTTTTCCTCGTAGAACCTGTTTAAAATTAAATACCAGGTTTTTAAAGTAATCCCAATTATGTATGGTTAGAATTACAGTATTAGGTTGAATTTGCGATGCATTTCTGACTGATCAGAAAATATAAATAAGAAAAGCTAATTATATTTATCAGGATATAAGAACATACTTCTGTTGCCAGTCAAAATACACAGCGTGCGACCTCACTGTAGGATTCTCGCGACCTCACTGTAATGAGATGCAACCTCACTGTTATTGTTTCTCTATACAAAATTTTAAAAAAGTCAAATTTTGAAATACTACCTTACATCTTTTTTAGACATAATTGTTTGATTTGGCCATTGTGCACCTATCCATACTGATTATGTTTATACATAACTTAATACATTAACGCTTATCCTAAGGAGCGTAATTGATTTATGATATCACTCCATTATTACTTAATGACTCGCTTCTCAAAATACTAAACTGCGCAGATTGACCGTAAATGTAAAATTTCGACCACAGGGAATCTTACATTTTTTTTCCTTACTCCACTTGGGAGCATTTGCGCTTTCCACTTGATTTTAGAGTTAGGCATTAGTTTTACATGTCAGGAACCAAGGCCGTGAATTTGCCTTTATATTAAATATTGAAGATTATTAACATTTATAACAATAATAAATTGCTGTTGATGTGCAATATCGAATATTAAGGAATCCTTAAATCCATAAATTGGTTACTGTAAGTTACTGTAACCATCGAAACCCTATCAAGGATATATGGACAATTACTTTTATATTAACTTTTTATTTTAGATCTAACTTTATATTAAGCTCTATAATATTAAGAGTAATTATTATAGTGACCTTCTAAAAGTTTGAATCCAACGTCCTTAAAGGACAAGTGCAATAACGACTGCACCATTGATCAAATAATCTTAAAGTTATAATATTTAAATTCCAAGCATTTACGATATAATATTTAAAATTTATATAAAATTCGAACTTCTGCTTATTAATTCGATAGTAAATTGTAAATAAATTGTACATTAATTTTTTTTAAATAACAATTTGCTCTGGAATATGCACATATGTTCTATTTTTCCATCATTATCACGCAATTTAACGTATTTATATAATTTTTATATACCATTGAATATTAACATCATATACGTTATACATAGGTATACATAATATATGGGCTCAATTAAAATGAAAATTTAACAAAAGATTAACGTTTCTTTATTTCTTCAATCTTTTTTTCTGTTTCTTTTGCATTTATCCGGCTTACTAATAGGGTAATAATAGATTATATAACATTTTTATTTTTCTTCTTTAGCTCCATAATCTTAAAATAATTTTAATGTTTTCCGCATTTGTGATTTTTATTATAATAATTATAGTTATTATATACTCGTACAAACTCATAAACACATACATACAAAGAATTAAAGTTAATAAAAATTTATTTTTATTATTATTATTTTTGTTTTTCTTTTTTTTTGTAATAATTTTTTATTTTCTTCGTTTTTGTTTTGGATTATTGAGTTTTAATATTTTATTTACTTTTCTATAAATATTTATTTAATATTTTAGAGATATGGAAATTAAAGAATGGAGAAAAGAATATCAAAAATTATCAGATATAATTGAGAGAAGCTTACAACAATTTCAAAAGACATCAAATCAAAAATCGGAAGAATATATGAATGAAATACAAAAACTTCAAATGACACAAATTGAAAGAGAATGTGAACGTGCATTAGGTAAGTTGGAATCTAATTTAAATATTATTTGGATTTAGGCCTCAGGAAGACATGCAATTTTAAGTTTTGCAACTGTTCGATTGCTTACTTTTTATGGTCCATAGGTTAAAATTTAATCGTGCATAGATGCAACTGTCTGATCGCATGCAATTAAGCAATCAAACAGGTTGTAAGGTTTACTAGGGAAGGTCTTAGACATCAAACATTATTTTCACGGGTTTTGTTTGATGAGATTTAGATGGCTTTCTATTGTGATGAATGTAAAGTTGAAATTCTAACAGGATGGATTGTGAAAAATTTAATCGAATCAAAATTAATTTAAAATTATTTAATTACAAAAACAGGTATTTAGCAACACCATTTTTAGCATACACTCTTACATTCTGCTCAAAAATGGTTGCGATTAAGTTTTGTAGCTAAAATTAGTATTTTTCTTTTTAAATGGCTCCCTTTAACCTTCCCTATACATGTTAAAAACGAAAATTTTTTAATAATGGAAAGTAAAGGCCACACCTCCGGACTTAAAGGCGGTTTTAGTAGGATTATAGCCGCCATCTTTCCAATAATCTCTCTCTTGCTAAATAAGAACTGAGTTATAAGAGTTTAAAAAATTTTGATAGCAAGAAAAGAAAAGAAACGAAAAAAACAAAATTTAAAAGATTGAAATGAAGTTGAAATAAGGATATTTAACTACCGTCATACAAAATCCACATACAGAACTATCATACAAAATCATCATACAGAACCGTCATACAAAACCATCATACAAAAACGTCAAACAAAAGCTTTTCATATAACATATTATTAAAAAATCAAAACAGAAAAGGCTTTTTCTTCAAGTGCTCATATTTTAAAATAAAAATCATACATTTTTATATTTACAGAATTTTCTTCAGAAAGAATAATATCAGTATTTCGTGAATGGTCAACGCAAAAGAGCCCACTTGATACTGAATGTAGAGAACGATTAAGTAAATTAAAAGATAAATTAACTGAAACAAATCATTCAACGTTTATGTAAGTTTTAAAAATATTAAAAATAAATTTAATTTAAAATATTTTTTTTTAATTTTTTAAATTTCAATATTTTTATATATATGTAGAGTACCAGGTGAAGCTGCAACCATCATTGATCCCGATTTAGATGATCATGAATCTTATTTAAATAAATTTAAAAATAAAATTTTTGAAAAAATTAAATATGCAATAGAAGATCATATACAAAACGATCCAGATGTAATTAAGGGGAGAAAAAAGACTGTCCAGGTAATATTATTTACACACATATACATATGTATTTATATTTAAATTACCAATAATATAATTCAGATTGAAAATTTTAATTACAAACAATACATAATTATTTGAACTTTGCATATTGCTAATAGTATTAAAAGTTAAAATTACTTCCTTTATGTCAATTATATTATTTTTTTTTTCAATTTAAGCGGGTTTGCTCTGGAATGTAATTTGATAGGATGTTTAATGTGTAATTAATTACGTTGTTCTCACATTATTATGTTTTCCTTTGTTAAATAAATTTTTTTTTTATTAATTACCGATCACATTATATAATAATAAAGGATGGTATTGTGAACTATACAATTAACATAACAAATAATTATAACGGAAAAACACTGCTCAGGATCGAACAAATTCAAAAAATTTAAATATAATTTTTAGAATCTATTTTAATTTTTAACTTTTTATAGATCTGGGAATGTAATATCAAATTCCGGGTAAATTCATTTGAAAAATTTAATTAATTGAAATTTTTATAGAAATACTTGCAATTGGTTGTGAATAGTTCCAAGTCTTACTATCCTTTATTTAGGGGCTTATCAAAAAACTATACTTCTAAAGAGTATCCTTTTCCGTCATCCTTATAAATTTTTTCTCTATAAATTATTCTGTAAATATTCCCATATCCTTTTAAATTTTTTCATCTCTACAATATTCATACCAAAAATATTTGAGTTGCATATACTTGTTATACAATCAATTTAAATCAATATGCAATATTTTATTTTTCATATTATTACAAGTTAATGAGATGTCAATTATAATAAAAAATATAATGTATATAACATATTTTATTTTAATAGAATAAGAGCATTTTATTGAATAATGCATTCAATTTATTATGTAGAAAAAAGAAAATCAAAATCGCTTTTAAAAATATTAATAGCAATTTTCGACATAAATTATTTAAATGATTTATAGCTATACAAAAACAAAAAACAACAATTTATAAAAAATATAAAATATTGATTTAGCATAAAAATTCAATTAAAATATTTTAAAATTTTTTAGATGTACAAAAAGAACAACTAAAACCAAATGTGTTTTTTTTTGATTTTCCAATATCTGCAATAAATATTTTTTATTAAATTATTATTTTATAATATATGTGTATATATTATGTATACTTTTTCTATCACATTTTCAAAAAATATTTTCGCAAAAATGTACCAATTAATTTCATTCTGTCTAATTGTTTTGTCAACTAACAAAAATCCTACACAACTCGAAAATTTTTACACAAATAAATCTTAATAAAAATATTATTTCTTAAGAATCCAAATTGAAACCCCGCCTACTCCTCCAAATTGTAGTCTTGCCACTATATTGTAGCCTCGCCACCAAATTGTAGCTCTCTATAAGATCGCAAAAGTTCCAAGTTTTTTGCGATCTACTGTATAAAAACCAATTTTTGTATCAAACCGTATTCCCCTAAATTTATGCAAAATGAAATAAATTATTTCAGTAACTCATATCGTTATTATTTAATGTTAATTTATGTTTATATACCGACCCTAAACTTTAAATTTTTAAACTGAAATTTGCTATTTAACTTTGACAGACTACACTTCTTTTCCTAATTTTAATTCTACAATATGTTATTATTCCCAGGAATATGTCACTTCGCATATTTTTTTTTTTTACAAAAAATCACTGTAAAATTTCATATTATGTTTTTTTTTTATCGTCATTTTAAATATTAAAATAAATTTATATGAAATCTCATGCAATTATGATAATTAGGGTTGTCTATGTGATCATAATATTATGTTTATATGGATAAATAATATTTCTATGTACATTCATAATATCCTATACACATTAACATTATATAAATTTTTATTAAAATGAATTTTGAAATATTGTACATGAAAATTGTTATTTGTTGAATTTCAATGAAATAGATTATATAGATATAGTCAACCTAGTGTGATTTAAAATTAATTTAAAATTGAAAATTTTAGATTCAATTTAATTTTAAATTTATTTGTCTATGTTAAATTATGACTGCAAACGAATCATATATCTAGTATTTCCGTATAATCTTGTATAACAAATTATAAGAATTGATCAATTATTAATTATGTTACAAATTAGCCAAATTGAAATAATTAATAAATTTTTGAGTTAAAAATTTTTAATAAAATAGTGACAATGTCAGAAACAAATTATAAGAATAAGAAGTATAACAAATCACTTAAATCACGAGCTAGTTTCAACAGAAAGGAATTAAATTTAAAAATATTTTTGTTATTATTCTTCTTGAAGTTTTATAACCAAGTCCTTGAAATAAAACATTACCAATGTCAATTTCCTTATAAATTACTTAATAAATTACTAACTACTAAATGAATGGAAAAGTTAAAAATTAACTTATAACAAATTCAATTTATAAAATATCTATATATTTATATAACAGATATAACATATACTCAATCAAGTAATTATTAAGGTTTTAGGTCTACATATTTTACCTTTTAATATTACAATATTTTATATTTTGTACTTCGTTTCATTTCCTATATCTTAATTTATTATCTTAATTTAATATTTAATTACAAACTAATTTTTTTTTTTGAAAATTTCGTAATTTATGAAAATGTAGATAATAATAAGTAAAAAATTTCTAAATATAAACTTTTCTTAACTATAATCATTAATCATATTTATAATTTATTGAATTAATATACAATTTATCATTATGTTAATTGTGATGAAAAAAATCTTATGTTCTTAGCACCTTACCGGTGCTTAAGTTTTTGAGACATTCATAAAATTTATAAAAAGTATAAAACTCGTTTTTTGGGTACATCAACTTAGTTTCGCAAAGGAGACAATCCGCATATGTTGAAATTAATATAAGCACGTTCAATAAATTATGAGCCTGCAATTTTTGTAAATTGTATAACAAAAGGAAAACTAAAAATTTAAATTCGAAATGGTTCAAAATTTCGTGAATTTAATAAGATTCAAAATTTAAAAAAATTTTAAAATATATTAGAAAATATTGAAAAATTCAGTATTGTTGATAGTGAAATAAAAGTGGGATATCCTATTTTTCAATTAAATAGAGAGTTTTAAACACGGGGCCATAATTTCGTATTTATTTCTAATAAGGAATTCAAATTTCAATTTAATTGAATTTTAATATGATAAACTTCCTATATGCGTTGCACTGATTTCTATTTATTTATGGAATTTATTTATAAATTTTATCTTACAACAAAGAAATAAAATGATTATTTCAATTTAATCTAAAATTTCCCTAAAGCATAACTGAAATATACAAGTACCAGCCAGTATTTATGTATAACTTATAATATAGAGTAGAAATTATATTAATGGCATATTGAATTATAAATTACACTTCAAAAATAAACCCATTACTATAAATTATAAAAGATCAGGCAAGTAAAATGTTATAATAAAGACAAATCTATTTCTAAATCTTATAAATAACAGTTAAAAGAAGGCAAAAAATCTTATGTAACAATTTTCTATTTTTTTTAACAGAAATAACTGTGGTACTCATACATATTGGAGTACATTGATATAGAATTTGAAATAACTATACATATATAATTTTTTAAATAATGAAAATTTCATATTTCATTTGTAGAATGACAGAAAGAAAATGTTTCCTTTTTTTTGTACTCTCCTATCCTATACTTGAATAGTATAGGGAGTATGTTTTAATATAACAGTTATTCTGTTATTGTTTTTAACTATACATTTTCCTTTCGTTTCAATTACAAAACAAAATTTACAAAACATACAAGTATAACGATATAATGTGTGCGTGTGTGTATTAAAGTGCCTACCTCTTAGTATTTGTTATGTACAGCCACCAATAATGGATTTAAGTTATTTCTTTTTTATGCAAATATCTTAGATCACTTAAAATTATCACAAATATGTAATTTTTTTTTCTTTTTTAAAAAATATTTTATTTATAAAAGAAAATAAAGTGGTTTTCCTCAACAATTTTTTTATTTCACATAAATCGAATTTATGAGAATATATAAAATATATGCAAACATCAGAGCTACAAAAGAAGTATGTAACATACAAGAATATGTTGGTGTACAATGGTATTTATTACAGTAATGAGGAATCCGTATGTACTTATGCAACATTCATAACGGACCATAATATTGTGATTTCACAAGAGCTATTCGAAAGCATTGCATTAGAGCAATATATAAAAATTATTTTCATTCGTCTTTCCGTTCATGGAGGGTAAATCGTAGCTTAAAAGAGTAAACCTTCATTTTATTATAAATCGAGTTACAATATGTGAAAATTATAGTGATGCAATAACTATGTAGCTACTTGCTCTTGAAAAATTATAAAAATGTTTTAAAACGGCAAAGTCGAGTTTTATATAATAACAATGATGAAATCATAACAGAAATAGTCATTTCATAATTAAAAATTAAAATAAATTCATAAATACTTTTGTAATAAGTTCTCCTCTTTAAATTACTTTCCTCCAAAAACAGTATGTACGCTCCCCTAAAATTATGCAAAATTTATTTTTTTTATTGCACATATTTTTTCGTGTGATTCGTTCTGATTCCATGTAATTTTCACGACATTTTATATAATAATCTTTTGTGTTTTAAATACAAAAACTTTTAAATTAAATTTTTTTCATTGAAATTATAAACAATTTAAAGGATATTTTGTAACCATACATGAAAATTCCACATATTATGTTTATTAGGACACAATGGAAAATCGATGTAAATGTCAATCATTTCTTTAATAAAATACACAAAATAACTAAAATATTGAATAGTTTATTTCTTTGACATTATTGGAACCGTCATTCAAATTACCTTTATGCTCAATAGAATTCATAAAATTTTAAAGAAATTACGCATTTATTCAGAAATATTTATAATTTCAGAAATTTTTGTATGCATGTCCTTCAAATTGAATATATATTGGTAATAAACTACATATTTCATTGGTATATTTGAGATACAATGCTTTATACTTACCCAATTCCAATAAAATTGGAAATATACTTCATACCACAAGGATCGCCAGATGTCGTGATTTAAAACATAATTATTAATTTCTTAGAACCAAAAATATACTTGAACACTTTTATTTTTTAAAATGATAATTCTTTATTAATAGCAACAATTTTTATTTAATAATGAAAAAATTCAAATTGATTGCCATTCTTAAGTACGCGCCAATAAAAAAAACCCTATATAAAAATTCAAGAAAAAAAAAACAAAAACCGCTATCCTTTTTAATTCAACAACTCTGAAAAATTTTTTAAATTCTTCCAATATATCAAAAAAAAAAAATCCAAAACCAAAATCTTTCACATTAAATAAAAAAATGCCTGAACGTATAAAAATAAAAGAATTTTCATCTCAATTCAAATAATTCGGAAAAATGGTAAAAACAAAATGAGAACGTAAAAAAGAAAAACCGATTCTTTTAATATGAAAGTCTTAAAATATTAAATTGGAAAATTTGATAAAGGATTTTTCACGTTCTTCATTTCGATTGATTGCCATTTGGCTGGAAAATAATTCAATTTCTTTATTTATTTAAGTGAAAATTTTAATTATAACTTTATTTTTTGTTTTTTTTTTTTGGTTTTTTATTAAATATTAATATTTTTTTACATTTCTGCTGATTTCATATTTCGTAAATTAATAAGAATTTAAATGATTATATTCAATGTAAAAAATTTTTTATATATTGGAAATTTTTAATAAATTTGAGAAAATGGAAAATTTTTATCAATTTTTTCTTTATGAAAAATTATTCATAATATTTAATATGTGAATTATTATATTTTTCTATTTAATTAAATTAATTCGTATATTATTTAAAATTATCCTGATGCGATTGTAAAAATTTGAAATATTTTCCCATTATTTTTAAAAATGCATTCTAGTAAGTCTTCTGGAAATATGATATTTTAATATAAATATATGCGGGTACATACAATTCTATACAGAACTATCTCAGTAGAAAATCGGTCTAGAGAACTGCCTAATTACGGAACTGTTTGAAAATTACATAATTTTTTTATAATTGTTATAATTAATTGGAGTAGCTTAATGAAAATTTAGTTTTGAATTTTTTACAATTTTCTTGAATTCTACCACTTCAAATTACTTGAATTCAATGAAGTCTAAGTTGTTGAAATTATGGTACGGGGCATGAAAATTCTCAAATAATTTATGTTGATCAGTATTAGAACATGCAATAAATATTTTTCATTTGAATTAATTAATAATTTTTATATAATTTATTTAAATATTTTATTCATCAAAAAAATTAATTTCCTTCTTTTTTATCTAATTTCATATTTTGAATTCAACTAATGGAAAATTTAATTTGAAAATTCTTGATCAATTTATTTGGAATACGAAAACTTTACATATAATTTCTAATCAATTATAGGAAATATTTCATGAGCATTCAACACATATAAGATTTGTACAAGAACATCTTAATTCAAATAGTTTAATATCATCAAAAGTACCAGAACGTTTACGTACAGTAATACAACAAAATTATAAAAATGGTTCACGTCATTCACCATATTTTATATATGGTACACATGGTATGGGTAAATCAACATTAATAAGTGAAATATATTTACAATGTTCAAAATGGTTACCATATAGTAAAGTACATCGTGTTATACGTTTTGGTTCAGCAACACCACGTTCAGCATATAATTTAGAATTATTACGTGTTATATGCCAACAAATTTCAATAATATTTAATATACCAGAAGGTTATTTACCAAAGGATGCATCTTTTGATCCATTATATATTAATAATTGGTTTCAAAATTTGTTAAAACGTTGCGAAGATTTAAATAATGAATGCCTTTTTTTATTTATCGATGATTTACATAAATTAAATCCATTAGATTGTGATATTGTAGCAGCATTATCATGGTTACCAATTAGTTTACCATGGAATGTATATTTAATATGTAGCACAACAATACCAATTGAACAATTAAAATTTTCACCAATACAAAAAGATCGTTTTAAAAGTATAGAAAGTTTATATGATTTAGCAATGGAACAAAATCAAACAATTGTAAAAGGAATGAAAGGATATGAAGAAAAAGAAAAAAATGAAGATGAAAAAGATGATAATAATATAATAATGAAAATATCATCAACAATATCATCAACATCATCATCAACATCAATAAATAAAATATATGATAATATTAATATAAATGATAATGATGGTGATGATGATGATGATAATAATGATAGTTTAAGTAATAATGATAATGATAATAATTCAAATGGAATAAATAGAAATAATTGTAATAGTAGAAATAGTAGTATTGGTAGCGGTAGTATTGGTAGTGTTGGTACAACACAACTAATTAATAATGATAGTAATAATTTAAATAGCACTAATACAATTAGTAATAATGTAATAAATAATTCAAGGACATCACGTGAATTTAAAATAAAAATTGAAAATTTATTTAATCATCTTGAAAAGAAATATGGTAAAAAAAGTTTTGGTAGATTATCAGCATTGATTACGTGCTCTGAATATGGTTTATCGGAAACGGAATTACTTGAATTATTAATGCCAACAGATAGTCCAGATGCTTTGATTGAAACCCAACAAGGAAATTTTAACTTTTCATCATTTCGGAAAATACGTAACGAAATGTTAAGTAAGTTTTCCCTTCTCATTATTTATTTTTTTTTTTCCTTTTATGATCCTTTTCGTATGATCCTTATTCTATTTTTAATTTTTTTTTCTGCTTGTTTTCTTTTTTGATGTTGGTATTGTTAAAAGTTTTCAAAGTGTTTTTCTTTTTTTTCGTTTTTATATTTGTTTTTTTCTTTTTGATTATTTTTCTTTATTGGCCTTTTCATTTTCCATTTGCGTTCAATTTCAAGGTCAAATTATTATTATTTTTGTTTCAAAATTATTTTGAACTTATTTTGAATTCAAGTCACATCTTTTTCAAAATTCTTTTAAAATTTAAAAAAAAAAAACAGAAAAGTAAAAGCATAAAATAAAAAATAAAAATTACAAAATCATGTTAAAAATTCGCATTGAGCCCTTCTTTTTAGTAATATAAAGTGGTTGAAATAAATTTAAATCATTTTCTAAACTTAAATATATTTGGGGAAATGATTTTAAATGTTTATTTGATATGAAAGAGAAATTAATATTAGTTTTATGTTTAAGGAATATTTAATTTAAAAAAAAATTATCTCAATATGCGAATCTCAAGCAGACTTAACAAATTCCAGACTTTTAAGGTATACGCACAAAATATCGAAAATTCACACAAATTAAAATAAAATTCAAATCTAACGGAAATACTATGAAGTGGTTTGATGTGACTTTCTGCATTTCTTGTAAATATTGAATTATTATGCTAGTAGATTAATACTAAATCTTAAAAAGAAAATTAACATCTAAATATAAATCTAAATATAGCTGTTTTAGAGTAAAAGTGAACAAAAAACATGTATTCGAATAGTACGTACAATTATAATGAAATTCACAAATACAATTCGATTTTACAGAGTGTTCGTTGGGGTTTTTTAGAAAAAACAAACATTTGTGTAAAGAAGAGAGTGGGGGGACGGGCATGGCTAGAGGTGTTGTTGAAATCATTTTAAGTGGTACGGTATACGTAATAATGATTTTTTATAAGTTAATTAATGTTTTTTGAAAAATTTTCATTTTTTAACTTAAAATATCTTTTAAAACCTGATCAAAATCTGATGCCCTCCAAAACACCCTCTAGACATTCGAATTCCCCGCCTTCCCACTCGAACAATTTTTTCCCTAAAAAACATCAAGGAATTCCGTTCAGAGACCTTTAATATTCGTTTCATATTATGAAAAATATATATTTTTTTACAAAATTTAATTTCCATCACCAAGTTTAAAAAATATAAATTTATTTTTTCTATAATGCACAAAGGAAATATTAAAAAAGCAACAAGTGAATTAATATGTAGGATACATTCTGATAAAACCCCTCAGAAATTCTAAAAAAAAATTGTGTGATTCAGAAATTTTTAAAATCTAAAAATAAAATATAAAAATTCAATCTATACCAAAATTTTTAAAGATGAAACAAAACTACTGAAGCACCCAAACATAAAATTAAAATCGAAGAATATAATCAAAGCCGAAAATTGCCTCTTGCTTTATTTATAAGAACAATTTGTTTTAACAAGACTAACAGTTTTTAAAACGAATATTCTAGCGATATTATTAAATTAAAAGAATTGAATTTCAAAATATCATAAATCTAAATCAATTCGAAATTAGACACAAATTTCAAGTATTCTATAACTCTATACACGATTCTCATTTAATTTTCATAATATTACTTAAAACAAAATTATTAATAATTAATTTTTTTTCCATTACAGGACTATTAATAAGAGAAAAAATAATGTCTGGTAAAGTATTAATTGAATGGCGTCATGGATATTGTAAAGATTTAGCAAAATCAAGATATTTAGATAGAACAATTGAAAGAGCAATACATACAGAAATTGCAAATATATTTTTTAGTCAAGAACAAGATGAAAGTGATGAAATTACAAGTGAAAAAACTGATAGTACCGGTATGGATTTTCCAATATTAAATCATATTAAATTAAAACTTAAAATACATATTTTATTACAATTTTATAGTAAGCCAACAGAAACCAAAAGAAGAATCACCGAAACCACAAGAAGACACAACATCAAGTTTTTATAACCCACCTGGATTTGAGATATCTTATAGTATACGACATGTTGAAGAATCATGGCATCATTTGATGCGTTCAGATGATACATTAAAATTTAAACAGATTGCTGTTTGTAATTTTGATTTTCTTTTAGCTGCCGTAAGTTTTACAAAAAATAAAAGTAAACTAATAATTTTAAATATTCACAAAAAATTTTGAACATTATAAAACTTACACAAAAGTTATAATCAAAATCTATTTCGAAAAATGAAAAATTCAATATTGTTGACACCAGTTTGTTAAAACTTGAGATTTACAGCGATTTACGTAAAAAAAACTGAAATTTTGTACATTATTGATGATATTCCTGAAATATTGCTTCAGAAGAAAATATTCGACTATGTCCCACGCTTCTGCTCTCTACCCCTTCTCATTTGAAAAGTAGTGAGCTTCAATTTTGTAAATTCTTCATGAACGATTTTTAAAATACAACAAATATACAAAAATAATAACTTGTTTATCCAATCATAAAATTGCACAAACTGCCATCTTCTCAAGTCTTAAGATGGCGATTAAAATTCACCGTTACTTCCAATCCGGTTTTTTTTTGTTTTTTAGTTTCGGACTTCATTTTCCCCTTAGTACCTATTTGTGGTGTTAAAGAAGTTTGAAATTTTAATTCCGATTGAACAATTTTTTTTTCATTTTCCTTTAGAGAATGTCACATTTCGACAAATCATTTTCATAAATTTTCTTATTTCTTTTCCAATAGTATAAAATATAAATTTTGAATTACCTTACCAAACATTTATTTATATACATTATCCCATTATTATTATAATGTTTATGCAATACGGTATAAACCCCTATAAGTATGCACTTTTCCTATTATAAGCTATAAAAGCCTCTAGACGCAATTTTTATGATGAATATTGTATAATTCTGCAAAATATTCTGTCGAACAAGCAAAAACATCATGCGCCTCTTATCAAAAGTCTCATCATTTTATAACAAATCCAATTTTTCATTAAATAATTGATAAATAATCTCAAAAATTCCCTAAATCTAAACAAACTAAATAAATATTGCGTGGATAAAAACTAAATGCAAAAAATTTAAAAAAATATATTTTCAATAACAATTATTAAAATATAATGAGGATAAAAATCCTCAATTTAATTTGAAATAAGAATATTTTTGAAAGCAACACCTACATATTATTATTATTACACTAAGATTAACAAATTAAAATATAAAACACTTAAAATTTTCTTAAATCGATTTTCCCGTTTGTTCTTTTAATTTCTTTTAATTTCTATATAACAATCTCAATTATATAGAATAAAAAACGAAAGACAAAAAAAAAACTTTTTAAATACCGAAAGATTAAAATTCAGATATTTTAATTGTGCTGATAACTTTTCATAATTCCAAAATAAAACAAAAATTATTATGATTGTATTTTCTTTAAGGAAAATGGAAATTTTTAAGATTAAAAATTTTAAATTAAAAATATTTATGCATAAAAATCTAAGTTTTTGCTTACATACCACACAAACATACACATACAATGTTATTTCAATAAAACTGAAATTTACATAGTCTTCTTCTTGATTCTTTACCTTGATTCAAAAATGGAAAAAAGAAAAAAAAAAGTTCTTTAGAAAATATTTTTTTTTTATTTACTTTTTAAAAATTAGAAAAAATAAAAGAAAAACTTTGAAATCCCTGTACCATTCTTTTATACGCATTTCATTTTTTTTTTCTTGGTTATCTTGGTAATACAAAAACTGTAAACCTGCAGTATTTTTGTAACCATTTATAAAGTGTTCTGAATGAAATATGAAAAAGAAAAATGCAAAAAAAAAAAATAATCGTCAAAATCTTTTTTGGAAATTAAACTTTTGAAAGTATATATACAAAAAGTTAAAAAGTTCCTAAAACAAATTTTTTAATATATTTTTTTCAGACATCAAAGAATATTTCTGGAATTGCTTTTCCATTCTTTAGTTTTGCTCAATTTTCAAATTCTTTATATAAAATAATTTTATACATCCTTTAAAAACTGTGATAAAAAGCGTGAAATTTAAAGATAACAGTTCAAATGTCATTGAAAAATCACATTGAAAAATGAAAAAATTGTTTCGTATATGGTGTTGCCGCATTGTCGTTGTGACATACCAAAGCTGAATTACGTGTCAGTATATAAATTTGTTGTTGCAAATGTATAATTGTCGTTTTTATAGAACTAGTTCTAACAAAGAATGTTTTTGGAATTTGAATTCAGGTTCGGCAATTGCATCGCCGTGTAGCAATTGCAGTATAAAGAATATTTTAATATAATATATTATTAACAAATTTTTTTTGTTTCTTCTTTTAAATTGTCTTTACAAGGTTTAACACTGTGATAGTTGTTGACAGCCAGTGTTTCTCAATTGGGACCATATTTTGTTTACTAACACAGTACTTTAAATATTTCAAAAATAAAAGCAAAATTAAAAAAACGGGCATAGCAGTTTGAATAGAAAAAAGGAGATGAATAGCTATAGTAATAAAGTCAAGTGTTCCCATATGTAATCTGATATATTCGCATGTTACTTGTAAATTTATTTTTACAGTAACCGAAACCTACAATTGTTCTGAACAAACATACACTCCTAAATTGTGATGTAACAATCATATGTATAATATTGGTTGAAAAATGGACTTGCGACTAATCTAATTCAGTTTCTCAAAATTTATCAACATCTTATTCAAAAATTTATAAATATAACACTTCTTTAGCACGAAATAATTTTTTAAGTAAATTTTTATATTTGGATGTAAACCTAACAGTTGAAAACAATTTTTATTTGATCCTATAGTTGTTAAGCAACAATCATAATATTGTTGTCTTTAAACTTATTTGTACAATTTATCATAAAGTATATATTTATATTATATAACTAAATTCCGGGAGGAAAAAAATTTCATTTTGTTTTCCTACAAAAAAAAAAAAAAAAATTTTTTTTTGTCGCTTCATTTTGCGCTTTTCACTCACTTTCTCCCAATTTTATTTAATTTCTGCTTTCCAAAAAAAATTCAATTGTTAAAATTGTAAAAGATGAAATAATTTTTTAATTTCTGTGATAATAACCGAAAAATTTAGTTTTTTTTTTTCATTTATATGAAATGAAAAAAATAACGGTAAAATTCCATTTTTCAGGATCTTTTATATGAATATTCATTTTTTTAGGGATCAAATTTTTTTTTATAAATTCAAAATTGAAAATAAGTTAAGTGTGAAATAGTGGATGAGTTTTTTATTCAAAATGGTCAAATATGAAAAAATGTGTGGTGACCAATCGTCAATAATTATTTTCAAGTGATTGTTCAAATATATTAGTGATAATTAGTACATAAAATGCCACTGTACTTTATTTTGTAATTACACAAATTGCATACTTTCCGGAGTTATTTTTCTTATTATCGGAACTTATCATTCGAGAAGAAACTTCTTCAAAAAATAATAATTTTTTAAAATAGAAATTTTATTAAAATTTTGAAAATTCAAAGCTATAGCAATTGATTTTTTAGAAAGAGATCAGTTTGAATAAAAGTTAAAACAAGTAGAGAGTTTATCGGGAAATATTTATGCTAAAAAAGAGCACATGTTCTGTAAGAAAAATTTACGGTTTTCAAACCTTTACTTGTGTTGTAAATGGTTTCTAAAATTTTATTTAATAGGACGACAATTTTGCTACAAAATTTTATCAAAACCAAATTGTTCTATTACCCAAATATTTAAAATCTTTCTGCCATTTTAATGCAAAAAAATGCAACAAAGTTGAATAGCTCAGAAAATTTTAAATTTTTGTAATATAATTTTCGTGGAATTTAATTATCTTTGCAAAAGCAATTTTAAAAAACAAAATTCTACGTTATTCTGTATACAAAATTTAAATAAAAGTGGCAATTTAATTTAAACACTTTCCTAAATTTAAAGGAATTTTAACTCATTTTATTGAGATATCCAAATTTTCTTGATTTATTTTTACAAATTGCTTAAATAACGTAATAACAGTATTTATTAAAAAAACTTTGTATATAAGTCAAGATGCCGAAAATCTAAATAGAAAGAACACATTTAGATAGAATCTGATTTTATAATTATAAATGAATTTTTGAAAAAACATAAGAAATCTAAGTAAAGTTATTAATATCGAAATGGAAGAATCTAAATAATTTTTCTAAAAAATCAATAATATTAATACAAGATTTGATAGTAATAAAATTTCTGAATTTCATCAATATTGTTACGCTACACAATTAAGAACCTACTACTACCGAATCGAATTTCGTACTGAAAATTGTACTAAATTTTATTACTAAATTTATTTTAAAGACTGTTATATTAAATTTTAGTACAATTTTCATTTCTTCTTCTTCTTAATTTTCAAATACATATCCTTTAATTTATCAATAAGAAAACTTCATTTTTTTTTTATTTTTATATTAAAAAATATTCTAAATGATTTTTAAAAATCATTAAAAATTATTCTTTATAATGCAATTACACATACTTACAAGTTTAATGGAAAAATCAGATATAATTGAATTCAAATTGGCACTTAGTCATATTATATAATATGTTCTTTGAATTTTGAAAGAAAAAAACAAAACAAAGGAAAATTAACACTGAAAAGCAATTTCACTTTTTCTTTAAATTAGTTAATAATCCAATTTCAATTCAATTTAATATTATTAAGTATAAAACAATTTTTTTTTTTTCTTAAAGAAAATTTTAAATGGAAAACAAATGTATGAAATCAGAAAAAAAAAAAGGGAAAAACATAACAAATAAATAAATAATTTTTTTGATTTTTAAACTTTTTCATATTTCAAAGAAGAAAAACGAATTACTTTTAAAATTATTTTGTAACAAAATTTAGTAATTTTTGACATAGTTGAATGTGAAACATCTAAGAAATTAAATTTTTAAAGTTTTAAACTTTTATTTAATGGCCTATGACTAAAATTCAAAATACAATAAATATTTTTAAAAATTTTTAACTGCGATTTTTAGATTTAAGTACAATTTTTAAGAAAAAATTATTAATCGAATTCAAAAAACAACTTAATATTGGAGACATGATTTAGTCAAAATGTTCTGAGTTCCAGAAATATAGAAATTGTATAGGAGCCTTACTATATGTAACTCAATTTTCGTGAAACATTTTTCGTATTCGGAAAAATAGTAAGGTCAATACCAATCAATTTGTATGGTACTACCTTTCTGTTTCTTCAAATATGAAAATCGTTTTACTAAAATTGAACTACATATAGTAAGACCCCTATTGAAATATTTTAGAGTAAAAACAAAAGTACAAATTATGCTCTAAAAATTACATATTGCTATAACCAATTAAATACTTTATAAAAGCTTCTTTTTACATAATGCTGCCAAAATGTTCAGGATGGTATTCCAAAAGCAGGGAAATTAAATTTACCAACCTACTGCACTTTCCTGTTTTTTTCCTACTCATTGTCCATTTGATTCTAAACTTAAACGTGACAAAACTCAAAACATGTGTTAAAGTATTAAAAAAAACTATTCAGCGCCACAAATTTGAATTTCAATTTTTATTTTTATTTTTTTTTTTTTCAACATTTAAAAAATTCTTCAAATTTTTTTGAAATCATAGTCCGCTCTTCTAATATTTTCCATGTTATTTTTTTTTATATAACAGTATAGGAGTGAGTATAAGAAAGAGAAAATGCTATTATATTTTCTTTTCTTTAAAAATGTTTTTTATCTTTGTTGTCATACCATCCCGTCAAAAACACTTTAAAAATATTTCACTGCTCTTTCATTTTCATTCTTATGGCTTTTATTTATGTACACACACTTTTCATATATACCATATATTTACTTAATGTCCTTCCTTATGATAAATATACAATATATTTTTTCTTTATATATGTATCTTGGAAAAATGTGAGGGTTTTCACCAAAAAAAAATTTCCAAAGTAAAATACAAAATGTGATTTTATTGTGAGTGTTTTTCTTTCAAGCACATTGTTTGTTCTAGTTATTTCGTTTTCTTATTGTCTATATTTACTTAAAACTTCGTTGATTTTTACACTATTCTAATTTCAAGAAAATACATTTTGTACACACATTATATAGAACCTATTTATATGTCTACATATATATATGTTTATATTATAAGGAAGAGAAAAGAATATTTTAAAATATAAAGGCGCCAATATAATGATATTTAATATCCTCTAGATAGTGATTATTCTGTTATATTTTATACGGTTATACTTCGTTTATTTTGTTTTGTCATAATCAAATTATTACCAAATAGAATTTGAGAAAAATTTTATGATGAGTTCAAATTTTCGTATGAAGTAATTTATAACAATTCATAGGATATTTGCTCATTACATTTAGAATTTGAATCTTTCAATATGTCAAAAAATTTAAGTGTAGAAGTGTTATTACTATACTTCTTACCTTTGTTTTATATTAATTTGAGCTATAATCGCATGTTGTACAATCATAATTATTTAATTTATCACAATACATCCTTAAATTATGCAACTTTTTATAGTGAAAGATAATATCACAGCGAAAAAAGGTGTCATCACAAATTTTATTACAGTTACACTAAAATTCAGACGTGCATGCATGTTTTCTTTTCTTATATATTACTAAAAAGATGTTAGTAACTTAACAAAATTGTATGGTCACCTTTCATTACTGATATTATGTTTATAATAACGTTTTTGTTATGCATTATGCGGATAGCGCATACGATTTTTTTTTTATACGTATATGCGGTATCCATAATTCGACTTCGATTATTCTTGATTTCACCATAAATTTTACTATTAATATCTTTTAGGATCAATTGAAAATTAATCAAAATGAGCCATGCATGAATTCGGAATGAAATATTAAAATAAAGGTTTCTCAATATATACCAACTTCCAGAGCCTTTTTTAATATACATAAAATACTCTACCTCTGTCAGTTTGTACTCTGCCAAATACTGAACATTATATTTTAAAATTTTTAAAAGTATTTCAATAACGTAGGTATACCTTCTTCTAGTTTACAAGTGACATTTCTACGTCACCTTTAAATTTTTTAATTTGTGATATAACTTTTCCTTGTATTTAAATATGCAATCCAATCGTTTTTCATGAAAAAAAAATGAGAAGATTAATGTTATATGTAATTGCCCATGTATTCTAAGAACGTGATTTAACACTATAAAAAGTATAACAATAAGAAGAACACATTAGTATATAGAAGTATAAATATTTCAGTTACATACACTATACATATACATACACCTATAAAACAAAATTAAGGAAAACGTGCGAAAATTCCATTCACGAACACAAAATAATGAGATCTCTGATAAAAGAACCATGATTTTCATTTTCTATTCTTCTATTTCTATATTTTAACAATATTAACAGATTAACAGATTTTAACAAAAAATTTAAGTAAAGTAAACGAAAATTTTATAAATTTTTATAATGTGATGAGTTAGAATCTTTATAGGTTCATTATAATATTCTTAAGAAATTTTTAAAAAAATTTCTATAAAATATTTAATATTATTGAGAGAAAGAAAATGGTTTTTCTAAAATCTATATATACATACATAGATCGTTTAACATAATTTTTAAAATAATATCACAAATTCTATTAAGGAACACAGGATTGCATTTGGCACAGGTGCTATAGACACAATTAATTTATTCTAAACATTTTTGTAATAGAACATTTTATTCATATATTGTGTAAAACAGTAAGGCCCAATTCGATTCAATATCCTTTAATTAATTAAAGATGCTATTGAATTTTAAGAAAAATTCTACATAACCTTAAAAATGTCCAAATGTAATAGGTTGTATTAAGCGTAGTGTATGAAATTATTTTGATATTAGTTTTAAGAATTGAAAATTACATCATTAATTAATATAACGCTTTTTTTAAAGCGATATTCATTTTATATTAAGCGGTAAAAGAGCAGATAGTGCGAGAAATGGGGAAAATTTTATATTAGTCTTAAGCATCTACAACTTATCAACAAGAAAACAATAAGAAAACACTTATTTCAATAAAACATGTTATAATTACTGTTATATTCACGAGAACCTCAAGACCATTCCATTTGAAAATCAATTTGTATATGAGCTTTCTATCTTAAAAGTTGTTAAAGCTTTCGTACATACGGCCGAACTGAGTTACACTAATAATCTCACTTCTTTTCTTATAAATTTATTTATAAAATTTGTGCGAAAAAATAAGTAAACACTCAAGATTTAGTCTTTATGTTGCATAGCATCTCCTATTGATATAGTTGTCAATAGTACTATGAACACCCCCTATCTTGTGTTAAAACTTTTTTTAAATATTGTCTGAATAAGAAAATTATGATTATGATTATTGTTATTACACTGTTATACAAACATATCCCATTATATCGTTAAAATCCTGACGCTTTGTAATACATACATACATACATATCATACAATATATACAGGTCTGTTTAGAAATGGTCAAGGTCAAGAAAAGGAGAATAAAATAAAAATATTAAAACGATTAGGGATAAACAGACTTTATACCGTCTTCGTATAATATAAGTTATTATTAAGTTTATATTTTATAATATAAAAATTATTTAAAAAAGTTTTATATTATATATAACTTTAATTGCTTGTTACATGTCCTTAATCTTAATGAGAGAGAAGGAATGTAAAAGAAAGAAAAACTCAATTTAATATGAAAAAGTTTTCATGTTTTATAATTAATATAATTAATAATAAAAAAAAATTTTTTTAATATTTTCTTTAAACATTAATGAATTTTTCACTTAAAATTAACTCACAAATTTTATACTTATATACGTACATACACAGATATATAAATTTAATTCATTTATGACTAAAATATTTGATTTTCTCCTTTTTGTTTATTTACTTATTTTTGTATAGGTGCAAACCGTATCAATAAGTTATTTAAGGTGTTTAATTGAACATGTACGTTGTTATATTCTAGATCGTGATATTGAATTAATTTATTATACAATACGAAAATCAAGTGATGTTTTAACACGTGATCCAATGCAATTAGGTGCTCAGGTAAGATTTTAAAGTGATAATTATATAATTTTAATAATAGAAAATTGAAATTATTTTTAAGGTCCTATAGTAAAAATTTAACCTTTTCTATTTGGTTTTAAATTGGGTAATCACAATGAAAATCAGGTTTAAACTAAATCCGATTCAAGAAATTATATTTTTATTTATTCCTTATATATACGCACGCCACCAAAGTTGGTTGAGCCACTGATTTGTACTGAAAAATCAGCAATATAATGAAGACAAAAAGTAATAGCCAATATTGTTCGCGTTATACAGGCTCCACCTGTTCTGGATATCTTATTTATGTTATGAGTAAACGCATATATTATGTATAAGCAATTACAATGACCAATTTTTATCTTTCGATAACAAAAAAAAACACATTTTTGACTAAAATTCTATTTTTTAGTTTTAAGTACTGCGGGCTTGAAATAATAGGTAGCCTTTATAAAAATTTCTTTTGAGCTTTTTTTTTGGAATTTTTTATATAAAATAATTTTTTAAAAGACATTCAATCCTAAATTTATCTTAAATTTCTAAAAAATTAACTTAATTGCATAGTACCTTAGCAAATCATAAAAATTTATTCATGCCATATATAGGAATTTAGTCATAGCGTTGAAAAAAATTTTATACATAAACGTGATGTATTTAAATCTAAATAAAATAAAGTTAATTTTAAATTAAGCTATTCAACCATTACCATGGACACTGGAAAATAATCACAGATTTTATTGTTATACATACATATAGGTACAGACACAAACTGATTAATGATTTTCTTTTGTTTTAACATAAATTTCATTCGCCGTTCTTCGCTCTCTCTCTTCCCGGTGTTCTACCATATATTAAAAATTCTTTTATGTTTACAGGTGTGCATTAAATGTATTTCTAAATTAAATATATATAAAATATTCTCTCATTTCGCTTTTGAGTTGAAATATAAAAAAAAAGGAAGTAAAATGCAATAAACTTAAATGAGAAAAAAATCATTTTTCTTTATGTTTAATTTTATTTTACCTGATCCTTTTTACAACAACAAAACAATAACAAAAACTTAAAACATTTCACTGTACTCATTCCCTTTCTACACATTTTGTTCCTACCATTTCCTTTACATTTACATTTCTAGATACATACATAGTACACACTCTTTTATAGTCCTAAAATTATCAGTTCACTATTGTAAATAAATTGAAAGATATAAAAGGAATAAAACACAAAGAAAAAAAAAACATAAAATAAAAATTGATTATATCACGTCAATATTGAAAAGAAAACAAAAAAGAAAAACCTATAAATTATGTTTTTGTTTTGTTTTCTCTCTTGTTCTCTTTATATTTACATTTTTTTTTCTCTCTTTTATTCACTTTTAATTATAGTTAATTTCATGGTTACGTCCAATAAATGAACACGATGAAAATGATAATTCAATTCTTAGTATAACAGTTAGATCAGCAACAGCATGGTGTGATGGTTATACAGTACCATTATTAGTACCATTAACAGGTTGGTTACCACCGCCTTTACCATCACAAATTCGTACAATGACTGTATCTGGTACTGGTTCAATACGTGAAATATGTTTGGGACCATCAAAACAACATTTAATATTAGCAACAAAAACTGGTGATGTACAAATGTGGCATATTATGAGTAATAGTTTAGTGCATACATTTAAAGGTAAATAAATTGGAATTTTTCAAAAAAAAAAAAAAATATTATAATTTCAGAAGTCATAAACACTTAGAGATTAGATGAACTTAATTTTTTTACGAAAGTAAAAGTGTTATACATATAGAGTGTATTAAATGTTAAAAGTATATCAGTCACATTTTTTTACGCAGATTCAAAAAAATATTCTCAGAGAACTATTTTAAACTTACAATTACATAAAATATTCAATTTAATTTCTATATCTAATTTATTGATTCTTGATACCATAATTCATTTGTCGTACCGTAAATTATACATATCGTAATTTTTCCTTCCTTAATTTTGATATTTTCTTTTTTCTGTATTTTGTTATCTCTTTATTATTTCCATTATTGTGGGCTTCCTTTAAATAATTTATTGATTCTAAAAGAGAAAAAAAGAAGGAAAGAAACAAAAAGAAAATTTATTTTGTTATTTCTCTATCAATATATATTTTATATGTACAAAAATATAAACATATATACAAAGTATACAAAAATATATGAGTATAATAATTTATTCTATTTTTCTTTTTCTTTCATATAATATGGTTTTTTAATAGGTCATACAGCTCCTGTTACATGCATGTTAGTTCCAATTAATACAAATCTTTTAGTTACTGGTTCTGAAGATAAAACGGTCATCATTTGGGATGTGAACAATCGTAATTTAAAGTATCAAATTAAGTAAGTATGCGATATATTACTATGTATACATATATATATATATATATACATATATATATAAGAAAAATACATACCCATATTTTGTTTCATGAGCAACTATTATTAATTTAATTAAATGCGTGTCTACAACAGATATTTTGCTAATCAAAATATTTGTATAATAGAATGTATATTATATTTTCCTTGTATATACAAAAAATAGTTATACAAGGTTACACAAGAACGCAAAATAATATCATTTTTCAGGTTAGAAATTTTTTCAGTTAAAACATTGTATATATTAATTAAAGAAATTATATAATAACAATATTTTCTTTCATAAAATTTTAAAGAATTCTTTAAAGAAATTTTCTATTTAATACCAAAAATTATTTAGCTAAATTAAAGGAGCAGAAAATTTAAATACAAATATATCTATTTAATCTCCCACTAAACATATTTGGAATACAAGAAATTTATGATAGAATTCAAATACCAAAATATTTGGTAGAAACTATGTATGAAATTTTTAGAATTCAATTCAATTTTCATCCTAATTCAAAAGAATTATTTCACTTTTATAAATTGCACAAATTTAATATTGTGCAATTTTCAGGATAGAATTTTTACCTTGTCAATTTACTATCGAATTGAAAATGGTATTTTTATATTTAATATATTTTTATATCAAGTAGAAACATGACTTCGATTCAGGTTACAGGTCACATTTATCTTCATATATTATAGACAATTTACTCAATTAATATTGTTAATATTGCACTGAGTGCATTGGTACAGGTATTGCATATTCACTTATACTTTTGCAATTCAATATTTAAAATAATGTTGTGGTGTTAAAATTGATAATTTCTTTTAAATAATTTTACACTTCTATTTGAAATTTTAATGAATTATTAATTATTAATTAAACTATGAAACCATAGCAACGTCGAAATTATATTATTATAGCAAAAGTTTCACGAGTTGCAAGTAAATTACTAGAAAATCAAACACAGCAGTTCCATTTGATTTATTACGTAAAACTTATTAAAATGGCAAAAATCTCGATTTAAAAGCTTAAATTGTATTGATATTGAATTGAAATTGCAACATATTAAAAATTTTAATAAAATACAATATAAATAATAATGAAAGTCTTAAAATAATTCAACTAAAAATAATTTTAAGGTAAATCTGATTTTCAGATTTTCTTAAAATTCAAAAAATATTTTATTAGCCAAATTAAAAATATGCAAAAAAGATAAAAGTTTTAATATTTAAAGTTCCTTTACAATACCATGGAAACGGATTTATTTGTATACTTAATATTTTATTACTTTTATCATATTCCAGAATTTTACATTTTATATAAGAATATTAAAAAATCATAAAAAAGAAAAATTGAAATAAAACACAAATATCCTTTCATACATAAAAATTAATTTCCGGATCAATGTACTGCGGTATAAAAGCCATAAAATATTCAACAAAAAAAAAAAAATTTTTTTTTTTTACTATGCGACTTACAACAGAATTCCAAGAAATCATATAATATTATGAAATAAAATGTAATAAATAAAATTTTTATCATTCCTGCCGATTACTTAATTTTTAAGATTTTCTGTACAAGTTTCGAGTTTTTACGGAAATTTTTAAATTGTTCAATAGGAGCGCAAAACTTTCGTCTTGCATAGAAATAAGACCAGCAACGAATATTATTTACATAGAAATTTGATTTTAATATTATGTCATACACATTGCATACATATTGTAATTATAGGTAATTGTATTCAAGAAGCTGGCAAGAATGTTATAGGCCTCGTTCACCCTTAGTTACAATTAATAGATGATGCAAATTTCTATTAAATTTTGTGTTATTTTCCTAGTATTTCAAAAGTACATAAAATACAATATCAAGTAATATGCTGCTTTTAAGCCCTTTGCTATCCCTTTCAGAAACTTTTCATTTGAAGCCTCTATCTTTTTCGGATGGGAAGTTATAAGCAAAAAAGCTTGCACAAGTAAAAGTTTTCGTGGAAATTCGTTAAAATTCCTGTATCTGTTCCAAGCAAAAATTTTACCCATTTTTGATGCCCTATACAAGGTTATATAATATCGCACTCTTTACTGAATCACCCTGTATATAAGAAATAGCGTAATTCCCAAATTGATTTAAAGTAATAAAAAAATTTTTCAAAATCTTTAAAACAAAAACCGAATGCTACTGTCATGCAAATACCTCTAATAGATCTGTCCTTTATATATAAGAATGTTCAGATAACCTGTATAGGTTATTCATATAATATGCAAATCCAGCGTAAATTACCTATATTAAAAATTTAATATATAAAAATTACAAAAAATCCACATAATTTAAAATTTTGTCGAAATTAAATTCATGTAAAATTCAATATTCAATTAATTTATAAGGGTTATTAATATAAAAATATTTTGATTAAGTGATCTTAATCACGTAACGTTCAGAAACAATATCAATAAAACACTTACTAAAAATTTTTAAAAAAATTAAAAAATATGCGAATTTTTTCGAAAGCTATAAATACGCACAATATACATCAAATAATGTGAAAGAGCACTTATACAGCTACTTAAAACGCCACAAAAATATTTTTTTTTATTTAATTTTTTTAATACATTCTGTTTTCACGAGTACTTTAAATTTTTATATATTTTCCCTATCTTGATCGTGTTTTTCAATTTTTTTCTTGCTTTTTGAAATTTTCCCATATCTTTTATTTTTTTTCCTCCACTAAAAGCTTACAATTTCCGAGGAATATTACATTAATAAATACAATGTATTACATAATGTATTAAAAATTGTAATAAATTTTAAATGTGAAAGAGCAACTATGAGTTCTACTATAGTAGTTGAAATCAGTAGTAAAATACTCTACAGTATATTAACTATAAAATTGTAATAAGGGACCTAGTAAAATTAACTGGTTTATAACTGTGCTAAAGAATTCATTTCTAATTATAAGGATAGTTCTGAATCAACTGAATATTTCAACAATGTTAAAGCATTGTTGAAATCTAAATTACTAAGTATATTATTGGAGCTTAGTTAATTTTTATCTGTAAAAAATCGTGGTATAGATTAATTTAAATAAGCCAGTTTATATAGAAGATAGTAGGCGTTTTCACAATTTTTGGTATATAGTCAAAACTATTTTGTTATAATGTTCATAAATAAAAGTTGCGAAAGAGTTCTGTCTTATCAAAAATATAGTGAAATTGATATGATTAGCCGAATTGTTTTTTTTTTACTTTTGTGCAACTTTCAAAATTCATGTACGTATTGCATACCTTTTCCGTTATTGTTTTGCTGCATTGCGTTTATAACAATCTCTAAATGAAAGAATCAATAAGAAATGAGATTTCACAAACCAAAAGTCTTTTCTAGAAATTCTGAAGAAAACATTCTCCTAATTGAAGAATTTCAATCTAATAATTTTGTATGATAATTTGAAAATTGTAAATAAAATCAAAATTTAAATTTCCTGAAAATTCAGAAAAGTAACTTGGGGATCTAAAAATTTGGTACAGAATTTTTCATACACACAATTACAATATAAAAATGTAAGAATTTGTTTTATAGTCAGACAACACTTTCATTTATCCACACGCAACGGAATCTATTTCATAACACTTGATAAGGTGTTAACAAGGATAACGCCCGATTCCTCTACTTTTTATTCATAACAAAAGGACTATGAGTGTGTCCTTTATATTAAACGCAATATAAAACAATTTTATATTGAAATTGAAACAATAATTTCATTTTACAAAATTTTTAAAACATCAAAGTTATTTTTTTCTGCTTTTTATTTTTATCTCTTTTTCAATTATAAAATAACTTAAAAATTCATGTTTTTAGGCAAATCCCAAAAAACAAAAAGAAAAGAAATAAAAAAACAAAATATTTTTTACATAACTTACAAACAAAATCAATTAAATTTGAATGTTAAATAGGTAGAGAGGCCCAATTCCAGATAACCTTAAAAAGAACTGATAAAAGTTGCATATATAGCTATATACATAAATAAATTTCAAAGCAACCTTTTTCTTTTTTTTTTTTTTTATGTTTTAATTTTTATATGCTTTTTACATATTTTTTTATAAATTAATAATTTAGTTTATAAGAAACTTTATTTTAGAACTCCTCCTCCAAAAAAAAAAACCTTTTATTTTTAATAAAAAGACCTTGTTTTAAACCTTGGTATAGTAACAAATCAATTAACATGTAAAAGTAATAAAATTTTTAAAATTTACAACAAATTTGGATATTTGTTTTACATGCAAATATAAGAATAATTTAAAATATAATGGAATTGCATACTTTTAGGGAGAGAAAAGATTTTTTTCCTAATATAATCTATACATTAATTTATCGTGATATTAAAGATATTATAAGCTTGAAAAATTAATATGTACGTCATATGTTCAATATTATCGTTCGGTCTTAATCAAAATTAGGCAACTCGTGGTCGAAATATCTGTCGCATATTGGCAACCTAAACGACACCTCCTGATTTTATTGCGAAAATATTTCGGACAATCTCCAATAAGAATCCTGTTAAACAGTCTAATACATCTTCCATAAAAAATTATAATAAAAAGTTTTCTTTTGTCCGAGATCCTGTAAAATTATTTTCTATTGACGGCAAATCTAGTACAGGCATTGAAAATGTTATTAATTTTATTAAGCTCAGTGGCGTTCTTAAAAGAGAACATAGTAGCACAATAGAAAAAATGTGGCAAAACTTGAAACCTAATAAACATAATCCAAGTCAGTTTAGACGAGACCAGAGAAAACCAACAAAGAGTTCTGAATTTAAGAAAGACTTTAGATGCTATTAAGTTGATATAACAGTCAAATGCCAGTCAAATTTACTATTAAAAACAACACCAAGTTCCTTAACCTTTGCAGAAAAGTTTATGTACGATCCATTGAAGAAAATTCGGGGTAAATCAGAAGAACCAATATGTCTCCTGAAGATGACTGCATAACATCGTTCTACACATTCAGTTTTTTTCAAAATTTTTATTATAATATTTTTTATAGGGCCAGACAGCTTTTATAAACATATTATTATTGTTTAAAGAAAAAATTTAAATTTTAGTAAAATAATTTTTCCATTTTAAATTCTAACATCATATAAACTTAAAAATTTGAAAAATTTAACATTACGCATACAAACCTAATTTATATCGTAACATAAATTTATATACACGCATTATACATAATATTTGGTGGGTATTTACCCTACAACAAAAAACTATACACATATTCTTGTACCTATGTATATTTGGAATTACGAATTTACGTACCTTTACTCTCACATATTCTATAATGATATATTGCAGACATATGTACGTACATATGTATGTACTTTTTTTGACATTTTTATAAAAATTTTACTCATATTTGGAATTTTTTTTTATTTAGGAGTATGTATGCATAATATATAATATATTATATGTACGTACACATATATGATAAACATAAAAGGATAAAATAAAATTTATTTTTTTTTTTACTTAAATTATCCTTTTTTATGATTATTTTATTTTTTTTTCGTCTCCATTTTAGGGAACATGTTGGAGGTGTTTGTTGTGTAACATCTGCTATGAATAATAAATTAGTTATTAGTGGTGGGAATGATTCTTGTATTGTAATATCAAATCTCCAAACGGGAAAGGTGGTAAGTTGTATTATACATATATATATATATAGTTCTTAAGTATATAATATATATGTAAAGAAATATTTTATATATATACTATAATAATATGCAAAAATTTATTTTTTACAATGTCAAATAAATTGAAACATTATGTATATTTTAAATTTTTTTTTTTTCTTGTTATGAAGAAGAATAAAAAATCTTAAAATCTTTTAAAATTTGGTAACAACGTAAATGAACTGTAAATCGAAAAAAAGTACATATTAGAATTTTAATAATTTACTATTAAGAAGAATTTTATACATATATAAAATGGGCATCGTATATAAAATGGGTTTAGAAATCACTTTAAAAATTTTCAAGGAATATGTGAACTTGAGAACGGATATTTTAAATAATGAAAAATAAAACTTAATAGAAATTTTAAACTTATTAATTATTCAAAAAAGAACGTCTTTTCGAACGCATAGGACGATTGAAAAGTTTTTGAAAGCAGACATAAGTGCGAACGTACGGGTAATGAATTGCCGGATGAACGGTCAAAAAAGATGAACATTTATAATAAATTTGCAATTTTATTGTCCTTATTTCATACACAAAATAATTTTAGACTTAAAAACTTACAATATAAATAAAATTGAGTTGTTTTAAAAAAAAAACTGAGGCTTTTAAACTTCATCGACACTAAATAACTTTCATTTCTTATAAACAAAATTTAAAAATCAAAATAAATGGTACTCAAACATCCTTTTTATCTTCATCATATAATATGACATGTCATACCAATATGATAAAGAATGTACATTATTCTCTCATCTCATGTGTTATTTATTAAAATATAAAGTATAATAAGAGTAAAATACGATTTACCCTGAAATCAAAGTAACAATAAATAAAAAAATCACAACAATTTAGACCGCAAATTTTTTTTTTTTCAGTCTCAGTTGTTCACATTTTTGGCATAGGTTGTAAAAGGTTTTTTTGTTCGTTTTTCAGTTGGGATATTTTGTTTTTTCTACGTACAACTTGTTGCTTTTTCAAATGTCAACCATAATTTTTCAAAATGTCAATAAATTTTATTATTATTCTTTTTTACATAAATTTTTACTTGACTTAAAAATATTAAAGCCATAAATTTTTTATATTATTATTAAAAAAAAAATGTTTGGAGAAATGTTTGATTCTCGAATTACATTACATACCAAAACAAATTTTAGAAGCAGAAGATTTTTTCGCTATGATTTATTACAAATATTACCAATTCCATTAAAATAATTTTCGATTATTTTTTGTTAAGTCTCTTTCTTAAATTTTTACAATTTTTCTAAAGCTAAATATAGACTAAAATAATTTTTCCATTCCTAGATTTATTTTACTTAAATATTTTTTTTGTTATTTTATGTTATTAAGTTGCTTATTGTACATTATTTAATGTCTATAGGGCAAGCTTTTGCGTTATACATGCAGGAATATGGAAATTTGTTTCATTTTTGGAAACCGTCTATTTTTTGCGTTCAGTTTTGGTGTATAAACAAAATAATTTAAACATAAATCATTCGAGATATACATATAAAATATCCAAATACAAAGGTAACATATGTACATAAATTGTATATATAGAAATGTAAATAATTGACAGGAATAGTGTTGCGCTTTTAGACTAGATTTCCTTGTTCATTGAATTTGAGTGAAGCACGGTTTTGATTGCTCAATAGCTAATTAGAATTGAGCATCGCAACGATTTTTCAGTGTCAAAAACTGTTGTTTTAAATTTACCTTTTGATTGAATGCGGCAATGCTAACAAATAAATGGACATAAACAATTATATAAAGTAAATGTACATAAAAAGTATATTTTTTTTTGAATAGATAGCTATAATAAACTTACATAAAAATTCTATTATGTGCGTATGAAAATTTAAGAATACAATAAAAACCAGTCTTATTCACCTTTTCTTTAAAACCAGCCTCATTCGCATTGACAAGATCAACGTCAATAATTCATACTATACTTAAATTTACAGTTCAGTTTTTTGTACCAAAAAATATAACAGAATTTTCATAGTAAGCAATGTAACATTTTGAAAACTAATCTCAAAAACCGAAGAGAGATATTGGGAAATTACGTTTTCTCTCTTGAAAGAAATGCACCTCATTTCAACTCTTATACAAAATTATGGGAAATATTCAATTTAATAAAATTATTTTTAAAATATTTGAAATTAAATTAGAGCCCTTAAATTTATTGTTAAAAAAATTACCTAACTATCAATTTTTATAAAATTTAAAAATACATTAAAAATTAAAATTAAAAATTAAATAACAAATTTATACTAAAAATTTTAAAATAAAATCTACAGACTCTTGTAAAACTTTTAAAATATTTCTATTAAAAATAATAATTTTATTAAATTTAAAGAAAAGTATATATATAAAGGAAATTCCTTTAGGTCAAAAAAATGAATATAAAAGGATTTTTTCTTCAATAATTCATAAAAGAAATTGTTTTTTTATGAACACCTGAACAGAGAAAACTTTACAGACAGCAGCGTTGTCAATAAAATGACGTCTTCAAACAATAATAATTGAATTACAATCATTTTTTTTTCTTTGATTTTTTTTTTTGTTATGTTTTTACACAATTGAATACTTTAAGTGATTTGAATGACATTTTTCTTTTAATTTCAGTTTGATTTTTCTTCTGATTGACAATATTATTGTATTATTCTATGAATCTTTTTCTAAAGCTCATTCAATTTTAATGTATAATAGGATTTGAATAGATAAAATAAAAAATAAAAATATTTTCTTCGCATTGATTGGAGAAATTTCAAATTTCTACTTGAAAAATTCAGATTCTTGTACTTTATATCATTATTTTCCCAATTTTCAATATTATTTTTTTACAAAAATCTTCTCAAATATGATGATTTTATTGTAAAGGATTTAATTTTTAATTTTTTTTTTTAATAAAATGTTATTTATTAGTTTTAATATGATTCACCTGGATAATTTTATGTAACACTATGAATTGATTATACGGATTGATTCTGTAACCAGGAAATTAATAATAAAATTAAAAATAATTAAAATATTTGTTGATGAAAAGTTTGTAAATGCTTGTAAACTCTTTATATAATTAGGCTAACGGCAACCACAATCATTCGGCTCGTTGTTTTATAGATTTTTTTTCCAGGACTTCAGTTGATATTTTTTACAATTTTGTAAGTTACTCCATACTCGGTCTCTGAGCACCTCGTAGAAAGGCGGCGAATTTTAAATAATTTTTTTTTATTAAAAATCAAAAGGCGTAACATTTATATTATAATTTTCCGGATTTATACATTACATATATTGCACCAAATATTGAAGCAGTAATTTAATTGCTAAATTTATGCTCATAAAAATATTTATCCTTTAACTTCTTCCTTAAACATTATTTAATTGAACTCTTTATGAAATTCAATTAACTACCAAAACAATCTGTTCATTTCTTTTGTTTGAAGCGTCCGCTGTCCTTTATAAAAATACAAAAACAAATATTTTCATAAAATATTCTATCCGCTATCAACAAGATCATTTTCACGTTTCTTTTCTTGTTTAACATTTTTTTACATCCTTTCATCCTTTATTGGAATAATATTTTTTTTGGGTTCCCTTCCTATATTCCGTTTTTATTTTGTTTTTTTTTTTTTTTTTTACTTTTTTCATACCTATATAACATTTTATTAGTATCCTTAATATTATGTATTTATATACATACAATTATTTTCTTTGTATTTTTCATCTCATTTATAATTATAATATATTCGCGTTACACCTCTTAATTCTATTGTAATCAGATAACGATAACATAATGTTCGCCTGAAATACATGAAATATTAATGGAATACATACATACATGATAACATTAGTATTTTTATGTTATATTCAATATATATATGTATATATATTTGTATGAATTAGGTAAGGACTCAAAAAAGTATGTTGATTTTTCGTTTTCGTGATCAAAATTTTAAACAACATTTGATTTGAATATTATTAATTCTATTTGCCCAGATTCACCTGAGTACTTTTTTTAAGTCCGATATATTCCCATAAATAATACGTATAATCTGTTAATAATTAAATACAGGACGACAAATTGAAAAACGCCCTAGAATTTCATTGCTGTAACGTTGTTCTGTTTAAGCCGTCCTTTATTTAAATCATAATTTATTAATTGTGAATTTTTTGTTAAGAAAGCGCAATTCCTTTCGACACATTGTGTTATTTAACGAACATACGCCATTAAGTTCAAACGCCATAATTTTTTTATTTGAAAAACAACAAACGATACAATATTATTCACTTAAAATTTACCATTTAAAGAAAAATTTTAAAAAATTTTTAAATTCAGGTCCATGTTATTCTAAATTGAATTTTCAATGATTTTAAAATCAAACAAGTCAATAAATTTTTCAATTTCTTAAAGTGTAAACTATATATTATATAATATAACAATTCCCATGAGTGATTAAGAAATTTTTGCAAAAAAATTCAATGTCCCATTAAAACTTTTCATTCAATCTTACATTTGCTATAAAAATTGAACAGATCTATTTCGATTTCTTTTTTTAAATTTTCTAATATCAAAATGATATTATGAAGAAATCAAATTTTAACACAATAGAAAAAAAAACACAAAAACATGAATAAACGCATGAATAAACGCATTTTTATTTTTGTTACCCCCATAATCCTTTGCCTATACTTTTGTATATAGGTTAGAGATTATTTCTTTAACCCGAATTTTCTGATAAATTATTACGAAAAAGGAATAAGAAATTTAAGAAAAAATGCTTCATTGATTTCCGCATCTATTATATTATTATTTGTTATTGTTATACGATTTCATATATATTATTTATATAGACAATAATTTTCACAATGTATCTATATATTATGTATATCATGTAAGTATTACCGAGATAAGTAAATGTAAGAGAACAATAAGAGAAATCTAACCAATAAAAATA